CTGTTTCACCATACCTCAAAGTTTCACCAAACCTCACTGTTTGACCGTACCTCATTGTTTCACCATACCTTACTGTTTCACCATACCTCACTGTTTCACCATACCTCGCTGTTTCACCATACCTCACTGTTTCACCATACCTCATTGTTTCACCGCACCCCACTGTTTCACCATACCTCGCTGTTTCACCATACCTCGCTATTTCACCATACCTCACTGTTTCACCATACCTCACTGTTTCACCCTACCTCGTTGTTTCACCGTACCTCACTGTTTCACCATACCTCACTGTTTCACCATACCTCATTGTTTCACCGTACCTCACTGTTTCACCATACCTCACTGTTTCACCCTACCTCACTGTTTCACCGCACCTCACTGTTTCACCATACCTCACTGTTTCACCCTACCTCGTTGTTTCACCGTACCTCACTGTTTCACCATACCTCACTGTTTCACCCTACCTCGCTGTTTCACCATACCCCACTGTTTCACTGTACCTCACTGTTTCACCATACCTCATTGTTTCACCCCACCTCACTGGTTCACCATACCTCACTGTTTCACCGTACCTCACTGTTTCACCGTACCTCACTCACTGTTTCACCATACCTCACTGTTTCACCATACCTCACTGTTTCACCCTACCTCGTTGTTTCACCCTACCTCACTGTTTCACCGCACCTCACTGTTTCACCATACCTCACTGTTTCACCCTACCTCGTTGTTTCACCGTACCTCACTGTTTCACCATACCTCACTGTTTCACCCTACCTCGCTGTTTCACCATACCCCACTGTTTCACTGTACCTCACTGTTTCACCATACCTCATTGTTTCACCCCACCTCACTGGTTCACCATACCTCACTGTTTCACCGTACCTCACTGTTTCACCGTACCTCACTCACTGTTTCACCATACCTCACTGTTTCACCATACCTCAATGTTTCACCATACCTAACTGTTTCACCATACCTCACGATTTCACCATACCTTACTGTTTCACCATATCTAACTGTTTCACCATATCTCACTGTTTCACCATACGTAACTGTTTCACCATTCCTCACTGTTTCACCATTACTCACCGTTTCACCATACCTAACTGTTTCACCATATCTCACTGTTTCAACATACCTCACTGTTTTACCATACCTCTCTGTTTTGCCATACCTAACCGTTTCACCATACCTCAGTGTTTCACCATTCCTCACTGTTTCACCATACCTAATTGTTTTACCATATTTAAACTGTTTCCCCCTATCTTCCTGTTTTCACATGCCAAAACTCGCTCTTTTTCCATTTCTTTCAGATTCCCCATGCCTCTTAATATCTTCCAATTTGCCCAAGTTTTCCCTTTACCTCATTCCTTGACTCATTCCCCAAGCTTTCCTTTTCTCCTATTCTTGTCTAATTCTTCATACCTCCCTGTTTCCACATGTTCCCGACTTCCCCAAGCTTCCCTTTTTCCCCATTCCTCTCCGGTTTCCATGCCTACCTGTTCTCTCTTGACTCCCATCCACCCAGGCTTCCCATTTCCCCATTCTCCTCTGTTTCCACAGGTCCCCGGTTTTCCCCAAGCTTCCATTTCTCCCAGTTTCACACTAATTCCCATTTTTCCCCTTGTCTTCCATTTTCCCCATACTTCCTTTATTCTCTGCTCCCCATGTCTTCATGTTTCCCCATGCCTCCCAATCGCCCCATGCTTTCCCTTTTCCCCATGCATTGTAAAGTTCACCAGTTAGAACACCTCCCAGATTCTCTGATATTTTCACTTCACCCCCCCTGATCTAAATGTATAACGAGAGGAGCGTGTACCCTATCTCACCCTGTTCCTTCATGCCTCAGGGGAGATGCTGCTGGGCAGCAGCAGTGGAGATTCAAACCTCGAGAACCTGTACGTAAGACCGTGCTTCAACAAAAGCATGTACGGTGTGACTTAAACAGCTGTAATGCCTAAGTTACATGTATAGCGAGTGGTGAGTTTGATAAGGTTTTCTAAGGGGAGGGGCGCGTCATTGTTGAAAGGTGGGCGCGTGTCACTGGCGGACTGCAGTGGATGGATTCTGCCGTGCGTGAGGAGCCTGCCACACTCGGCATCACGTGCCTCGCACGCACTCTACGCGCACTGCTAGTTCCGTTTCAGCTCCACTCGATCAACCAAGGGATTTGAGTGAAGAAAGCATGTGCTAAACGGTGTTCAAATTATACAAAAATATATTACATAGTAACACCACCCCAAAATTAAACATCTCTTTTGAACAAGGGTACTTATCAGTATACCACGGTATGTGGGTGGCACGGAAACAAGTTACGTTCATGCATTCTCTCCAGTCTAATATATATTTGTATCCTGTATAACACAACGTTTGTGTGAGATAAATGATTTGAGGCTAGAACAAATATCGCAATTTGTATGAGCGGAGTTGACAGTATCAAAGCTCGAAGAAGTACTATAATGAGGTTGTAGCTTGGCGGGAACCTTGGTATGCTCGAGGTTCGGAACCACAAAGTTCGGAGGCAGCTTCAACTTGGTGGAAACTCGCTCCGAGCCTCTGTTCTCAACCTCGGCGTCTGGTTACGCAACCACTAAGGGCTGCCCAACCAAACCTCCGCCTCTTGGAACCGACACAGCAGTGCAGGAAGTAGCCCAGCAGCAGCAGCGACAGTCTCGGGTGCGGGCAGCCTCGCGAAATTGGCTTGGGCACAAGCTCTGGCAAACATACCAGAAGCACCGGGGTGTCCGAAAGAGCTAAGGGCTGCTCGAAACCCTACCCAACCACTCTAGAGTGACCGCGAAAAATGAGGGTGTCTGAAAAGAGTTCAAATGCTGCTCGAAACCCAACCCAACCGCTCGAAAGTGATCGCAAATGCTCTGCATCCGAATATTCTGGAGCCCCGAAAACTCCCCGCAGCGCAACTCCTGCCTTTCCGTGGCTGCGGTGTTCCGCTTTTCCCTCCCCCAGCCGAGCAGCCCAGGCCTCGAGTGTGTACCTCCGCATCTCTCTGCATCTCCCTTCTCGCGTGACCAGAAGCAGATCTGCCAACACCAGCCACGATGCCTACAAATCTGTTATGGCAGCCTTTATCTCAGCATCACGAGCTTCTACCCTGCTGGTCTTCGAAGTTCTGTTTGCTTCCTCGTTCATTCAGTTCGTAATGGCCTCAGACTACCCTTCGTTTGTTTCCGCGCTTAGTTTCTGGAAGAATAGCGAGAAACATGCAATATCGTCCCTGCAGCATGTTGGTTCCAACAGCAGCACCAATCTGATTCTCCCACCCAACGCTGCAGCGACACCGCTGTTAGAGCTGCCGGCGGTGTGGAGGAATAGCGAGAAACAGGCAAAATCGTGCCTGCAGCGTGCGACTTCCAGCAGCAGCACCAATCTCGTTCTCCCACCCATCGCTGCAGCCACACTGTTGCTAGAGCTGCCGGCGGTGACGTCAGATTCTACAGGAGTGTCGGGCGCAGAAGCGTCGCACACTGAAGTGTCGCATGCTGAAGCGTCGCATGAGTCGCCTGTTGAAGCGTCGCATTCCGAAACGTTTGATGCTGCTAAAGCGTTTGATGCTGCAGCTTCAAATGTCGAACCGTCCGACTCTGAAGCTTCGGAAGCGGAACTGTCAGAACCTGCAGCGCAGGATGCGGAAGCCTCGGTTACGAGATTGTCGGATGCAGCATCGCATGCTGCTGCATCATCCGATCCTGCAGCATCTTCCGATCCTGCAGCTGCTGAAGCGAAGCTGACAGATCCTATAGCGCAGGATGTTGAAGCCTCGAATGCGAGATTGTCGGATGCAGCAGTCCCTATCGTCGCAGCTTCGCATGCCGCAGGATCAGACCCGCTCATTTCACCTCCGACGGTTCTATCCTCGGCGGCTTGCGCCAAGTTAGTAAGTGCGGTCGTACCGTCTCGCATTCCGAAACCGAGTAAGGGAGCAGCGATTAAGAGGCGAGTGGAGGGAACGACACTGCTTCCCAGGCCTAAATGTGCCGCACCGCACAGGGAGGTGAGGGGAGTGGAAGTTGAAGCTGCAGGCAAGCGGCCTCGCAGGACGTCCAAGGCCGTGCCGGCTGCAATCCCACGCCGACCATGGCGCCCTTGACTGCTGCACGCATGAAAAAGGGGGAAAAAAATGGAAGACAGGGATAAGCTATCACTGAAATTCTTGAAGAAAACGAAAATGAAGAATCAAGAATATGGAGGTTGAAAAGAGGAGAGCTTGGGGTATGAGATGGAGGGATGGCATAAAAGGCATGTGAAAGCAGCGGAGCACAGCACAGCTACACGCCGAGAGCACCGACTGGGGGATGGGTGTGGTGTGGATGGGGAACACGGTGGCACTACCCTTTTTTGCGCCCTGCTTCACAGCAGGGTGTTTGTGGGAGTGTGGTGGGTGGTTGATGGCTGGAGGGGGTGAGGGAAAGCTGTTGTGCTGCTGTACCTTCAATAACACCTCCAGGCTTGAGCGCTCCTGACGGATGGCTCCAGGCTTGAGCGCTCCTGACGGATGGCTCCAGGCTTGAGCGCTCCTGACGGATGGCTCCAGGCTTGAGCGCTCCTGACGGATGGCTCCAGGCTTGAGCGCTCCTGACGGATGGCTCCAGGCTTGAGCGCTCCTGACGGATGGCTCCAGGCTTGAGCGCTCCTGACGGATGGCTCCAGGCTTGAGCGCTCCTGACGGATGGCTCCAGGCTTGAGCGCTCCTGACGGATGGCTCCAGGCTTGAGCGCTCCTCACGGATGGCTCCAGGCTTGAGCGCTCCTCACGGATGGCTCCAGGCTTGAGCGCTCCTCACGGATGGCTCCAGGCTTGAGCGCTCCTCACGGATGGCTCCAGGCTTGAGCGCTCCTCACGGATGGCTCCAGGCTTGAGCGCTCCTGACGGATGGCTCCAGGCTTGAGCGCTCCTCACGGATGGCTCCAGGCTTGAGCGCTCCTCACGGATGGCTCCAGGCTTGAGCGCTCCTCACGGATGGCTCCAGGCTTGAGCGCTCCTCACGGATGGCTCCAGGCTTGAGCGCTCCTCACGGATGGCTCCAGGCTTGAGCGCTCCTCACGGATGGCTCCAGGCTTGAGCGCTCCTGACGGATGGCTCCAGGCTTGAGCGCTCCTGACGGATGGCTCCAGGCTTGAGCGCTCCTGACGGATGGCTCCAGGCTTGAGCGCTCCTGACGGATGGCTCCAGGCTTGAGCGCTCCTGACGGATGGCTCCAGGCTTGAGCGCTCCTGACGGATGGCTCCAGGCTTGAGCGCTCCTGACGGATGGCTCCAGGCTTGAGCGCTCCTGACGGATGGCTCCAGGCTTGAGCGCTCTTGACTGACGGCTCCAGGCTTGAGCGCTCCTGACGGATGGCTCCAGGCTTGAGCGCTCCTGACTGACGGCTCCAGGCTTGAGCGCTCCTGACGGATGGCTCCAGGCTTGAGCGCTCCTGACTGACGGCTCCAGGCTTGAGCGCTCCTGACGGATGGCTCCAGGCTTGAGCGCTCCTCACGGATGGCTCCAGGCTTGAGCGCTCCTGACGGATGGCTCCAGGCTTGAGCGCTCCTCACGGATGGCTCCAGGCTTGAGCGCTCCTCACGGAAGGTTCCAGGCTTGAGCGCTCCTCACGGATGGCTCCAGGCTTGAGCGCTCCTGACGGATGGCTCCAGGCTTGAGCGCTCCTGACGGACGGCTCCAGGCTTGAGCGCTCCTGACGGACGGCTCCAGGCTTGAGCGCTCCTGACGGACGGCTCCAGGCTTGAGCGCTCCTGACGGATGGCTCCAGGCTTGAGCGCTCCTGACGGATGGCTCCAGGCTTGAGCGCTCCTGACTGACGGCTCCAGGCTTGAGCGCTCCTGACTGACGGCTCCAGGCTTGAGCGCTCCTGACGGATGGCTCTAGGCTTGAGCGCTCCTGACGGATGGCTCCAGGCTTGAGCGCTCCTGACGGATGGCTCCAGGCATGAGCGCTCCTTACGGATGGCTCCAGGCTTGAGCGCTCCTTACGGATGGCTCCAGGCTTGAGCGCTCCTCACGGATGGCTCCAGGCTTGAGCGCTCCTCACGGATGGCTCCAGGCTTGAGCGCTCCTGACGGATGGCTCCAGGCTTGAGCGCTCCTGACTGACGGCTCCAGGCTTGAGCGCTCCTGACTGACGGCTCCAGGCTTGAGCGCTCCTGACGGATGGCTCCAGGCTTGAGCGCTCCTGACGGATGGCTCCAGGCTTGAGCGCTCCTGACGGATGGCTCCAGGCTTGAGCGCTCCTGACGGATGGCTCCAGGCTTGAGCGCTCCTGACGGATGGCTCCAGGCTTGAGCGCTCCTGACGGACGGCTCCAGGCTTGAGCGCTCCTGACTGACGGCTCCAGGCTTGAGCGCTCCTGACGGACGGCTCCAGGCTTGAGCGCTCCTGACGGATGGCTCCAGGCTTGAGCGCTCCTGACGGATGGCTCCAGGCTTGAGCGCTCCTGACGGATGGCTCCAGGCTTGAGCGCTACTGACGGATGGCTCCAGGCTTGAGCGCTCCTGACGGATGGCTCCAGGCTTGAGCGCTCCTGACGGATGGCTCCAGGCTTGAGCGCTCCTGACGGATGGCTCCAGGCTTGAGCGCTCCTGACGGATGGCTCCAGGCTTGAGCGCTCCTGACGGATGGCTCCAGGCTTGAGCGCTCCTTACGGATGGCTCCAGGCTTGAGCGCTCCTGACGGATGGATCCAGGCTTGAGCGCTCCTGACGGATGGCTCCAGGCTTGAGCGCTCCTGACGGATGGCTCCAGGCTTGAGCGCTCCTGACGGATGGCTCCAGGCTTGAGCGCTCCTGACTGACGGCTCCAGGCTTGAGCGCTCCTGACGGATGGCTCCAGGCTTGAGCGCTCCTGACGGATGGCTCCAGGCTTCAGCGCTCCTGACGGATGGCTCCAGGCTTGAGCGCTCCTGACGGATGGCTCCAGGCTTGAGCGCTCCTGACGGATGGCTCCAGGCTTGAGCGCTCCTGACGGATGGCTCCAGGCTTGAGCGCTCCTGACGGATGGCTCCAGGCATGAGCGCTCCTGACGGATGGCTCCAAGCTTGAGCGCTCCTTACGGATGGCTCCAGGCTTGAGCGCTCCTGACGGATGGCTCCAGGCTTGAGCGCTCCTGACGGATGGCTCCAGGCTTGAGCGCTCCTGACGGATGGCTCCAGGCTTGAGCGCTCCTGACGGATGGCTCCAGGCTTGAGCGCTCCTGACTGACGGCTCCAGGCTTGAGCGCTCCTGACGGATGGCTCCAGGCTTGAGCGCTCCTGACGGATGGCTCCAGGCTTGAGCGCTCATGATGGATGGCTCCAGGCTTGAGCGCTCCTGACGGATGGCTCCAGGCTTGAGCGCTCCTGACGGATGGCTCCAGGCTTGAGCGCTCCTGACGGATGGCTCCAGGCTTGAGCGCTCCTGACGGATGGCTCCAGGCTTGAGCGCTCCTGACTGACGGCTCCAGGCTTGAGCGCTCCTGACTGACGGCTCCAGGCTTGAGCGCTCCTGACGGATGGCTCCAGGCTTGAGCGCTCCTGACGGATGGCTCCAGGCTTGAGCGCTCCTGACGGATGGCTCCAGGCTTGAGCGCTCCTGACGGATGGCTCCAGGCTTGAGCGCTCCTGACGGATGGCTCCAGGCTTGAGCGCTCCTGACTGACGGCTCCAGGCTTGAGCGCTCCTGACGGACGGCTCCAGGCTTGAGCGCTCCTCACGGATGGCTCCAGGCTTGAGCGCTCCTCACGGATGGCTCCAGGCTTGAGCGCTCCTCACGGATGGCTCCAGGCTTGAGCGCTCCTCACGGATGGCTCCAGGCTTGAGCGCTCCTGACGGATGGCTCCAGGCTTGAGCGCTCCTGACTGACGGCTCCAGGCTTGAGCGCTCCTGACGGATGGCTCCAGGCTTGAGCGCTCCTGACGGATGGCTCCAGGCTTGTGCGCTCCTGACGGATGGCTCCAGGCTTGAGCGCTCCTGACGGATGGCTCCAGGCTTGAGCGCTCCTCACGGATGGCTCCAGGCTTGAGCGCTCCTGACGGATGGCTCCAGGCTTGAGCGCTCCTCACGGATGGCTCCAGGCTTGAGCGCTCCTGACGGATGGCTCCAGGCTTGAGCGCTCCTCACGGATGGCTCCAGGCTTGAGCGCTCCTCACGGATGGCTCCAGGCTTGAGCGCTCCTGACGGATGGCTCCAGGCTTGAGCGCTCCTGACGGATGGCTCCAGGCTTGAGCGCTCCTGACGGATGGCTCCAGGCTTGAGCGCTCCTGACGGATGGCTCCAGGCTTGAGCGCTCCTGACGGATGGCTCCAGGCTTGAGCGCTCCTGACGGATGGCTCCAGGCTTGAGCGCTCCTGACGGATGGCTCCATGCTTGAGCGCTCCTGACGGATGGCTCCAGGCTTGAGCGCTCCTGACGGATGGCTCCAGGCTTGAGCGCTCCTGACGGATGGCTCCAGGCTTGAGCGCTCCTGACGGATGGCTCCAGGCTTGAGCGCTCCTGACGGATGGCTCCAGGCTTGAGCGCTCCTGACGGATGGCTCCAGGCTTGAGCGCTCCTGACGGATGGCTCCAGGCTTGAGCGCTCCTGACGGATGGCTCCAGGCTTGAGCGCTCCTTACGGATGGCTCCAGGCTTGAGCGCTCCTGACGGATGGATCCAGGCTTGAGCGCTCCTGACGGATGGCTCCAGGCTTGAGCGCTCTTGACGGATGGCTCCAGGCTTGAGCGCTCCTGACGGATGGCTCCAGGCTTGAGCGCTCCTGACTGACGGCTCCAGGCTTGAGCGCTCCTGACGGATGGCTCCAGGCTTGAGCGCTCCTGACGGATGGCTCCAGGCTTGAGCGCTCCTGACGGATGGCTCCAGGCTTGAGCGCTCCTGACGGATGGCTCCAGGCTTGAGCGCTCCTGACGGATGGCTCCAGGCTTGAGCGCTCCTGACGGATGGCTCCAGGCTTGAGCGCTCCTGACGGATGGCTCCAGGCATGAGCGCTCCTGACGGATGGCTCCAAGCTTGAGCGCTCCTTACGGATGGCTCCAGGCTTGAGCGCTCCTGACGGATGGCTCCAAGCTTGAGCGCTCCTGACGGATGGCTCCAGGCTTGAGCGCTCCTGACGGATGGCTCCAGGCTTGAGCGCTCCTGACGGATGGCTCCAGGCTTGAGCGCTCCTGACTGACGGCTCCAGGCTTGAGCGCTCCTGACGGATGGCTCCAGGCTTGAGCGCTCCTGACAGATGGCTCCAGGCTTGAGCGCTCATGACGGATGGCTCCAGGCTTGAGCGCTCCTGACGGATGGCTCCAGGCTTGAGCGCTCCTGACGGACGGCTCCAGGCTTGAGCGCTCCTGACGGATGGCTCCAGGCTTGAGCGCTCCTGACTGACGGCTCCAGGCTTGAGCGCTCCTGACTGACGGCTCCAGGCTCGAGCGCTCCTGACGGATGGCTCCAGGCTTGAGCGCTCCTGACGGATGGCTCCAGGCTTGAGCGCTCCTGACGGATGGCTCCAGGCTTGAGCGCTCCTGACGGATGGCTCCAGGCTTGAGCGCTCCTGACGGATGGCTCCAGGCTTGAGCGCTCCTGACTGACGGCTCCAGGCTTGAGCGCTCCTGACGGATGGCTCCAGGCTTGAGCGCTCCTGACGGATGGCTCCAGGCTTGAGCGCTCCTGACGGATGGCTCCAGGCTTGAGCGCTCCTGACGGATGGCTCCAGGCTTGAGCGCTCCTCACGGATGGCTCCAGGCTTGAGCGCTCCTGACGGATGGCTCCAGGCTTGAGCGCTCCTGACTGACGGCTCCAGGCTTGAGCGCTCCTGACGGATGGCTCCAGGCTTGAGCGCTCCTGACGGATGGCTCCAGGCTTGAGCGCTCCTGACGGATGGCTCCAGGCTTGAGCGCTCGTGACGGATGGCTCCAGGCTTGAGCGCTCCTGACGGATGGCTCCAGGCTTGAGCGCTCCTGACGGATGGCTCCAGGCTTGAGCGCTCCTCACGGATGGCTCCAGGCTTGAGCGCTTCTGACGGATGGCTCCAGGCTTGAGCGCTCCTGACGGATGGCTCCAGGCTTGAGCGCTCCTGACGGATGGCTCCAGGCTTGAGCGCTCCTCACGGATGGCTCCAGGCTTGAGCGCTCCTGACGGATGGCTCCAGGCTTGAGCGCTCCTGACGGATGGCTCCAGGCTTGAGCGCTCCTGACGGATGGCTCCAGGCTTGAGCGCTCCTGACGGATGGCTCCAGGCTTGAGCGCTCCTGACGGATGGCTCCAGGCTTGAGCACTCCTGACGGATGGCTCCAGGCTTGAGCGCTCCTGACGGATGGCTCCAGGCTTGAGCGCTCCTGACGGATGGCTCCAGGCTTGAGCGCTCCTGACGGATGGCTCCGGGCTTGAGCGCTCCTGACGGATGGCTCCAGGCTTGAGCGCTCCTGACGGATGGCTCCAGGCTTGAGCGCTCCTGACGGATGGCTCCAGGCTTGAGCGCTCCTGACGGATGGCTCCAGGCTTGAGCGCTCCTGACGGATGGCTCCAGGCTTGAGCGCTCCTGACGGATGGCTCCAGGCTTGAGCGCTCCTGACGGATGGCTCCAGGCTTGAGCGCTCCTGACGGATGGCTCCAGGCTTGAGCGCTCCTGACGGATGGCTCCAGGCTTGAGCGCTCCTGACGGATGGCTCCAGGCTTGAGCGCTCCTGACGGACGGCTCCAGGCTTGAGCGCTCCTGACGGATGGCTCCAGGCTTGAGCGCTCCTGACTGACGGCTCCAGGCTTGAGCGCTCCTGACGGACGGCTCCAGGCTTGAGCGCTCCTGACGGATGGCTCCAGGCTTGAGCGCTCCTGACTGACGGCTCCAGGCTTGAGCGCTCCTGACGGATGGCTCCAGGCTTGAGCGCTCCTGACTGACGGCTCCAGGCTTGAGCGCTCCTGACGGATGGCTCCAGGCTTGAGCGCTCCTGACTGACGGCTCCAGGCTTGAGCGCTCCTGACGGATGGCTCCAGGCTTGAGCGCTCCTGACGGATGGCTCCAGGCTTGAGCGCTCCTGACGGATGGCTCCAGGCTTGAGCGCTCCTGACGGATGGCTCCAGGCTTGAGCGCTCCTGACGGATGGGCTCCCCTTACGGATGGCTCCAGGCTTGAGCGCTCCTGACGGATGGCTCCAGGCTTGAGCGCTCCTGACGGATGGCTCCAGGCTTGAGCGCTCCTGACGGATGGCTCCAGGCTTGAGCGCTCCTGACTGACGGCTCCAGGCTTGAGCGCTCCTGACTGACGGCTCCAGGCTTGAGCGCTCCTGACGGATGGCTCCAGGCTTGAGCGCTCCTGACGGATGGCTCCAGGCTTGAGCGCTCATGACGGACGGCTCCAGGCTTGAGCGCTCCTGACGGATGGCTCCAGGCTTGAGCGCTCCTGACGGATGGCTCCAGGCTTGAGCGCTCCTGACGGATGGCTCCAGGCTTGAGCGCTAATGACGGATGGCTCCAGGCTTGAGCGCTCCTGACTGACGGCTCCAGGCTTGAGCGCTCCTGACGGATGGCTCCAGGCTTGAGCGCTCCTGACGGATGGCTCCAGGCTTGAGCGCTCCTGACTGACGGCTCCAGGCTTGAGCGCTCCTCACGGATGGCTCCAGGCTTGAGCGCTCCTGACGGATGGCTCCAGGCTTGAGCGCTCCTGACGGATGGCTCCAGGCTTGAGCGCTCCTGACGGACGGCTCCAGGCTTGAGCGCTCCTGACGGATGGCTCCAGGCTTGAGCGCTCCTGACGGATGGCTCCAGGCTTGAGCGCTCCTGACGGATGGCTCCAGGCTTGAGCGCTCCTGACGGATGGCTCCAGGCTTGAGCGCTCCTCAGGATGGCTCCAGGCTTGAGCGCTCCTGACGGATGGCTCCAGGCTTGAGCGCTCCTGACGGATGGCTCCAGGCTTGAGCGCTCCTCACGGATGGCTCCAGGCTTGAGCGCTCCTCACGGATGGCTCCAGGCTTGAGCGCTCCTCACGGATGGCTCCAGGCTTGAGCGCTCCTGACGGATGGCTCCAGGCTTGAGCGCTCCTGACGGATGGCTCCAGGCTTGAGCGCTCCTGACGGATGGCTCCAGGCTTGAGCGCTCCTGACGGATGGCTCCAGGCTTGAGCGCTCCTGACGGATGGCTCCAGGCTTGAGCGCTCCTGACGGATGGCTCCAGGCTTGAGCGCTCCTGACGGATGGCTCCAGGCTTGAGCGCTCCTGACGGATGGCTCCAGGCTTGAGCGCTCCTGACGGATGGCTCCGGGCTTGAGCGCTCCTGACGGATGGCTCCAGGCTTGAGCGCTCCTGACGGATGGCTCCAGGCTTGAGCGCTCCTGACGGATGGCTCCGGGCTTGAGCGCTCCTGACGGATGGCTCCAGGCTTGAGCGCTCCTGACGGATGGCTCCAGGCTTGAGCGCTCCTGACGGATGGCTCCAGGCTTGAGCGCTCCTGACGGACGGCTCCAGGCTTGAGCGCTCCTGACGGACGGCTCCAGGCTTGAGCGCTCCTGACGGACGGCTCCAAGCTTGAGCGCTCCTGACGGATGGCTCCAGGCTTGAGCGCTCCTGACGGATGGCTCCAGGCTTGAGCGCTCCTCACGGATGGCTCCAGGCTTGAGCGCTCCTCACGGATGGCTCCAGGCTTGAGCGCTCCTCACGGATGGCTCCAGGCTTGAGCGCTCCTGACGGATGGCTCCAGGCTTGAGCGCTCCTGACGGATGGCTCCAGGCTTGAGCGCTCCTCACGGATGGCTCCAGGCTTGAGCGCTCCTCACGGATGCCTCCAGGCTTGAGCGCTCCTTACGGATGGCTCCAGGCTTGAGCGCTCCTGACGGATGGCTCCAGGCTTGAGCGCTCCTGACGGATGGCTCCAGGCTTGAGCGCTCCGGACGGAGGGCTCCAGGCTTGAGCGCTCCTGACGGATGGCTCTAGGCTTGAGCGCTCCTGACGGATGGCTCCAGGCTTGAGCGCTCCTGACTGACGGCTCCAGGCTTGAGCGCTCCTGACGGATGGCTCCAGGCTTGAGCGCTCCTGACGGATGGCTCCAGGCTTGAGCGCTCCTGACGGATGGCTCCAGGCTTGAGCGCTCCTGACGGATGGCTCCAAGCTTGAGCGCTCCTGACGGAGGGCTCCAGGCTTGAGCGCTCCTGACGGAGGGCTCCAGGCTTGAGCGCTCCTGACGGATGGCTCCAGGCTTGAGCGCTCCTGACGGATGGCTCCAGGCTTGAGCGCTCCTGACGGATGGCTCCAGGCTTGAGCGCTCCTGACGGATGGCTCCAGGCTTGAGCGCTCCTGACGGATGGCTCCAGGCTTGAGCGCTCCTGACGGATGGCTCCAGGCTTGAGCGCTCCTGACGGATGGCTCCAGGCTTGAGCGCTCCTGACGGATGGCTCCAGGCTTGAGCGCTCCTGACTGACGGCTCCAGGCTTGAGCACTCCTGACGGAGGGCTCCAGGCTTGAGCGCTCCTGACGGATGGCTCCAGGCTTGAGCGCTCCTGACGGAGGGCTCCAGGCTTGAGCGCTCCTGACGGATGGCTCCAGGCTTGAGCGCTCCTGACGGATGGCTCCAGGCTTGAGCGCTCCTGACGGATGGCTCCAGGCTTGAGCGCTCCTGACGGATGGCTCCAGGCTTGAACGCTCCTGACGGATGGCTCCAGGCTTGAGCGCTCCTGACGGATGGCTCCAGGCTTGAGCGCTCCTGACGGACGGCTCCAGGCTTGAGCGCTCCTTACGGAGGGCTCCAGGCTTGAGCGCTCCTGACGGACGGCTCCAGGCTTGAGCGCTCCTGACGGATGGCTCCAGGCTTGAGCGCTCCTGACAGATGGCTCCAGGCTTGAGCGCTCCTGACGGATGGCTCCAGGCTTGAGCGCTCCTGACTGACGGCTCCAGGCTTGAGCGCTCCTGACGGATGGCTCCAGGCTTGAGCGCTCCTGACTGACGGCTCCAGGCTTGAGCGCTCCTGACGGATGGCTCCAGGCTTGAGCGCTCCTGACGGATGGCTCCAGGCTTGAGCGCTCCTGACGGATGGCTCCAGGCTTGAGCGCTCCTGACGGATGGCTCCAGGCTTGAGCGCTCCTGACTGACGGCTCCAGGCTTGAGCGCTCCTGACGGATGGCTCCAGGCTTGAGCGCTCCTCACGGATGGCTCCAGGCTTGAGTGCTCCTGACGGATGGCTCCAGGCTTGAGCGCTCCTTACGGATGGCTCCAGGCTTGAGCGCTCCTGACGGATGGCTCCAGGCTTGAGCGCTCCTGACGGATGGCTCCAGGCTTGAGCGCTCCTGACGGATGGCTCCAGGCTTGAGCGCTCCTGACGGATGGCTCCAGGCTTGAGCGCTCCTGACGGATGGCTCCAGGCTTGAGCGCTCCTGACGGATGGCTCCAGGCTTGAGCGCTCCTGACTGACGGCTCCAGGCTTGAGCGCTCCTGACGGATGGCTCCAGGCTTGAGCGCTCCTGACGGACGGCTCCAGGCTTGAGCGTTCCTGACGGACGGCTCCAGGCTTGAGCGCTCCTGACGGATCAGGGCTCCTGAGGAGGCTCAGGCTGAGCGCTCCTGACGGATGGCTCCAGGCTTGAGCGCTCCTGACGGATGGCTCCAGGCTTGAGCGCTCCTGACGGATGGCTCCAGGCTTGAGCGCTCCTGACGGATGGCTCCAGGCTTGAGCGCTCCTGACGGATGGCTCCAGGCTTGAGCGCTCCTGACGGATGGCTCCAGGCTTGAGCGCTCCTGACGGATGGCTCCAGGCTTGAGCGCTCCTGACGGATGGCTCCAGGCTTGAGCGCTCCTGACGGATGGCTCCAGGCTTGAGCGCTCCTGACGGATGGCTCCAGGCTTGAGCGCTCCTGACGGATGGCTCCAGGCTTGAGCGCTCCTGACGGATGGCTCCAGGCTTGAGCGCTCCTGACGGATGGCTCCAGGCTTGAGCGCTCCTGACGGATGGCTCCAGGCTTGAGCGCTCCTGACGGATGGCTCCAGGCTTGAGCGCTCCTGACGGATGGCTCCAGGCTTGAGCGCTCCTCACTGACGGCTCCAGGCTTGAGCGCTCCTGACGGATGGCTCCAGGCTTGAGCGCTCCTGACGGATGGCTCCAGGCTTGAGCGCTCCTGACGGATGGCTCCAGGCTTGAGCGCTCCTGACGGATGGCTCCAGGCTTGAGCGCTCCTGACGGATGGCTCCAGGCTTGAGCGCTCCTGACGGATGGCTCCAGGCTTGAGCGCTCCTGACGGATGGCTCCAGGCTTGAGCGCTCCTGACGGATGGCTCCAGGCTTGAGCGCTCCTGACGGATGGCTCCAGGCTTGAGCGCTCCTGACGGATGGCTCCAGGCTTGAGCGCTCCTGACGGATGGCTCCAGGCTTGAGCGCTCCTGACGGATGGCTCCAGGCTTGAGCGCTCCTGACGGATGGCTCCAGGCTTGAGCGCTCCTTACGGATGGCTCCAGGCTTGAGCGCTCCTGACGGATGGCTCCAGGCTTGAGCGCTCCTGACGGATGGCTCCAGGCTTGAGCGCTCCTGACGGATGGCTCCAGGCTTGAGCGCTCCTGACGGATGGCTCCAGGCTTGAGCGCTCCTGACGGATGGCTCCAGGCTTGAGCGCTCCTGACGGATGGCTCCAGGCTTGAGCGCTCCTGACGATGGCTCCAGGCTTGAGTGCTCCTGACGGATGGCTCCAGGCTTGAGCGCTCCTTATGGATGGCTCCAGGCTTGAGCGCTCCTGACGGATGGCTCCAGGCTTGAGCGCTCCTGACGGATGGCTCCAGGCTTGAGCGCTCCTGACGGATGGCTCCAGGCTTGAGCGCTCCTGACGGATGGCTCCAGGCTTGAGCGCTCCTGACGGATGGCTCCAGGCTTGAGCGCTCCTGACGGATGGCTCCAGGCTTGAGCGCTCCTGACGGATGGCTCCAGGCTTGAGCGCTCCTGACTGACGGCTCCAGGCTTGAGCGCTCCTGACTGACGGCTCCAGGCTTGAGCGCTCCTCACGGATGGCTCCAGGCTTGAGCGCTCCTCACGGATGGCTCCAGGCTTGAGCGCTCCTCACGGATGGCTCCAGGCTTGAGCGCTCCTGGCGGACGGCTCCAGGCTTGAGCGCTCCTGGCGGATGGCTCCAGGCTTGAGCGCTCCTGGCGGATGGCTCCAGGCTTGAGCGCTCCTGGCGGATGGCTCCAGGCTTGAGCGCTCCTGACGGATGGCTCCAGGCTTGAGCGCTCCTGACGGACGGCTCCAGGCTTGAGCGCTCCTGACGGACGGCTCCAGGCTTGAGCGCTCCTGACAGACGGCTCCAGGCTTGAGCGCTCCTGACGGACGGCTCCAGGCTTGAGCGCTCCTGACGGACGGCTCCAGGCTTGAGCGCTCCTGACGGATGGCTCCAGGCTTGAGCGCTCCTGACTGACGGCTCCAGGCTTGAGCGCTCCTGACTGACTGCTCCAGGCTTGAGCGCTCCTGACGGACGGCTCCAGGCTTGAGCGCTCCTGACGGATGGCTCCAGGCTTGAGCGCTCCTAACGGATGGCTCCAGGCTTGAGCGCTCCTGACGGATGGCTCCAGGCTGGCTCCAGGCTTGAGCGCTCCTGACGGATGGCTCCAGGCTTGAGCGCTCCTGACTGACGGCTCCAGGCTTGAGCGCTCCTGACTGACGGCTCCAGGCTTGAGCGCTCCTGACGGATGGCTCCAGGCTTGAGCGCTCCTGACTGACGGCTCCAGGCTTGAGCGCTCCTGACGGATGGCTCCAGGCTTGAGCGCTCCTGACGGATGGCTCCAGCCTTGAGCGCTCCTGACGGATGGCTCCAGCCTTGAGCGCTCCTGACGGATGGCTCCAGGCTTGAGCGCTCCTGACGGATGGCTCCAGGCTTGAGCGCTCCTGACGGATGGCTCCAGGCTTGAGCGCTCCTGACGGATGGCTCCAGGCTTGAGCGCTCCTGACGGATGGCTCCAGGCTTGAGCGCTCCTGACGGATGGCTCCAGGCTTGAGCGCTCCTGACGGATGGCTCCAGGCTTGAGCGCTCCTGACGGATGGCTCCAGGCTTGAGCGCTCCTGACGGATGGCTCCAGGCTTGAGCGCTCCTGACGGATGGCTCCAGGCTTGAGCGCTCCTGACGGATGGCTCCAGGCTTGAGCGCTCCTGACGGATGGCTCCAGGCTTGAGCGCTCCTGACGGATGGCTCCAGGCTTGAGCGCTCCTGACGGATGGCTCCAGGCTTGAGCGCTCCTGACGGATGGCTCCAGGCTTGAGCGCTCCTGACGGATGGCTCCAGGCTTGAGCGCTCCTGACGGATGGCTCCAGGCTTGAGCGCTCCTGACGGATGGCTCCAGGCTTGAGCGCTCTTGACTGACGGCTCCAGGCTTGAGCGCTCCTGACGGATGGCTCCAGGCTTGAGCGCTCCTGACGGATGGCTCCAGCCTTGAGCGCTCCTGACGGATGGCTCCAGGCTTGAGCGCTCCTTACGGATGGCTCCAGGCTTGAGCGCTCCTGACGGATGGCTCCAGGCTTGAGCGCTCCTGACGGATGGCTCCAGGCTTGAGCGCTCCTGACGGATGGCTCCAGGCTTGAGCGCTCCTGACGGATGGCTCCAGGCTTGAGCGCTCCTGACGGATGGCTCCAGGCTTGAGCGCTCCTGACGGATGGCTCCAGGCTTGAGCGCTCCTGACGGATGGCTCCAGGCTTGAGCGCTCCTGACTGACGGCTCCAGGCTTGAGCGATCCTGACTGACGGCTCCAGGCTTGAGCGCTCCTCACGGATGGCTCCAGGCTTGAGCGCTCCTCACGGATGGCTCCAGGCTTGAGCGCTCCTCACGGATGGCTCCAGGCTTGAGCGCTCCTGGCGGACGGCTCCAGGCTTGAGCGCTCCTGGCGGATGGCTCCAGGCTTGAGCGCTCCTGGCGGATGGCTCCAGGCTTGAGCGCTCCTGACGGAGGGCTCCAGGCTTGAGCGCTCCTGACGGACGGCTCCAGGCTTGAGCGCTCCTGACGGACGGCTCCAGGCTTGAGCGCTCCTGACAGACGGCTCCAGGCTTGAGCGCTCCTGACGGACGGCTCCAGGCTTGAGCGCTCCTGACGGACGGCTCCAGGCTTGAGCGCTCCTGACGGATGGCTCCAGGCTTGAGCGCTCCTGACTGACGGCTCCAGGCTTGAGCGCTCCTGACTGACTGCTCCAGGCTTGAGCGCTCCTGACGGACGGCTCCAGGCTTGAGCGCTCCTGACGGATGGCTCCAGGCTTGAGCGCTCCTGACGGATGGCTCCAGGCTTGAGCGCTCCTGACGGATGGCTCCAGGCTGGCTCCAGGCTTGAGCGCTCCTGACGGATGGCTCCAGGCTTGAGCGCTCCTGACTGACGGCTCCAGGCTTGAGCGCTCCTGACTGACGGCTCCAGGCTTGAGCGCTCCTGACGGATGGCTCCAGGCTTGAGCGCTCCTGACTGACGGCTCCAGGCTTGAGCGCTCCTGACGGATGGCTCCAGGCTTGAGCGCTCCTGACGGATGGCTCCAGGCTTGAGCGCTCCTGACGGATGGCTCCAGGCTTGAGCGCTCCTGACGGATGGCTCCAGGCTTGAGCGCTCCTGACGGATGGCTCCAGGCTTGAGCGCTCCTGACGGATGGCTCCAGGCTTGAGCGCTCCTGACGGATGGCTCCAGGCTTGAGCGCTCCTGACGGATGGCTCCAGGCTTGAGCGCTCCTGACGGATGGCTCCAGGCTTGAGCGCTCCTGACGGATGGCTCCAGCCTTGAGCGCTCCTGACGGATGGCTCCAGGCTTGAGCGCTCCTGACGGATGGCTCCAGGCTTGAGCGCTCCTGACGGATGGCTCCAGGCTTGAGCGCTCCTGACGGATGGCTCCAGGCTTGAGCGCTCCTGACGGATGGCTCCAGGCTTGAGCGCTCCTGACGGATGGCTCCAGGCTTGAGCGCTCCTGACGGATGGCTCCAGGCTTGAGCGCTCCTGACTGACGGCTCCAGGCTTGAGCGCTCCTGACGGATGGCTCCAGGCTTGAGCGCTCCTGCCGGATGGCTCCAGGCTTGAGCGCTCCTGACTGACGGCTCCAGGCTTGAGCGCTCCTGACGGATGGCTCCAGGCTTGAGCGCTCCTGACGGATGGCTCCAGGCTTGAGCGCTCCTGACGGATGGCTCCAGGCTTGAGCGCTCCTGACGGATGGCTCCAGGCTTGAGCGCTCCTGACGGATGGCTCCAGGCTTGAGCGCTCCTGACGGATGGCTCCAGGCTTGAGCGCTCCTGACTGACGGCTCCAGGCTTGAGCGCTCCTGACTGACTGCTCCAGGCTTGAGCGCTCCTGACGGATGGCTCCAGGCTTGAGCGCTCCTGACGGATGGCTCCAGGCTTGAGCGCTCCTGACGGATGGCTCCAGGCTTGAGCGCTCCTGACGGATGGCTCCAGGCTTGAGCGCTCCTGACTGACGGCTCCAGGCTTGAGCGCTCCTGACTGACGGCTCCAGGCTTGAGCGCTCCTCACGGATGGCTCCAGGCTTGAGCGCTCCTCACGGATGGCTCCAGGCTTGAGCGCTCCTCACGGATGGCTCCAGGCTTGAGCGCTCCTGGCGGACGGCTCCAGGCTTGAGCGCTCCTGGCGGATGGCTCCAGGCTTGAGCGCTCCTGGCGGATGGCTCCAGGCTTGAGCGCTCCTGGCGGATGGCTCCAGGCTTGAGCGCTCCTGACGGATGGCTCCAGGCTTGAGCGCTCCTGACGGACGGCTCCAGGCTTGAGCGCTCCTGACGGACGGCTCCAGGCTTGAGCGCTCCTGACAGACGGCTCCAGGCTTGAGCGCTCCTGACGGACGGCTCCAGGCTTGAGCGCTCCTGACGGACGGCTCCAGGCTTGAGCGCTCCTGACGGATGGCTCCAGGCTTGAGCGCTCCTGACTGACGGCTCCAGGCTTGAGCGCTCCTGACTGACTGCTCCAGGCTTGAGCGCTCCTGACGGACGGCTCCAGGCTTGAGCGCTCCTGACGGATGGCTCCAGGCTTGAGCGCTCCTGACGGATGGCTCCAGGCTTGAGCGCTCCTGACGGATGGCTCCAGGCTGGCTCCAGGCTTGAGCGCTCCTGACGGATGGCTCCAGGCTTGAGCGCTCCTGACTGACGGCTCCAGGCTTGAGCGCTCCTGACTGACGGCTCCAGGCTTGAGCGCTCCTGACGGATGGCTCCAGGCTTGAGCGCTCCTGACTGACGGCTCCAGGCTTGAGCGCTCCTGACGGATGGCTCCAGGCTTGAGCGCTCCTGACGGATGGCTCCAGCCTTGAGCGCTCCTGACGGATGGCTCCAGCCTTGAGCGCTCCTGACGGATGGCTCCAGGCTTGAGCGCTCCTGACGGATGGCTCCAGGCTTGAGCGCTCCTGACGGATGGCTCCAGGCTTGAGCGCTCCTGACGGATGGCTCCAGGCTTGAGAGCTCCTGACGGATGGCTCCAGGCTTGAGCGCTCCTGACGGATGGCTCCAGGCTTGAGCGCTCCTGACGGATGGCTCCAGGCTTGAGCGCTCCTGACGGATGGCTCCAGGCTTGAGCGCTCCTGACGGATGGCTCCAGGCTTGAGCGCTCCTGACGGATGGCTCCAGGCTTGAGCGCTCCTGACGGATGGCTCCAGGCTTGAGCGCTCCTGACGGATGGCTCCAGGCTTGAGCGCTCCTGACGGATGGCTCCAGGCTTGAGCGCTCCTGACGGATGGCTCCAGGCTTGAGCGCTCCTGACGGATGGCTCCAAGCTTGAGCGCTCCTGACGGATGGCTCCAGGCTTGAGCGCTCCTGACGGATGGCTCCAGGCTTGAGCGCTCCTGACGGATGGCTCCAGGCTTGAGCGCTCCTGACGGATGGCTCCAGGCTTGAGCGCTCCTCACGGATGGCTCCAGGCTTGAGCGCTCCTGACGGATGGCTCCAGGCTTGAGCGCTCCTGACGGATGGCTCCAGGCTTGAGCGCTCCTGACGGACTGGCTCCAGGCTTGAGCGCTCCTGACGGATGGCTCCAGGCTTGAGCGCTCCTGACGGATGGCTCCAGGCTTGAGCGCTCCTGACGGATGGCTCCAGGCTTGAGCGCTCCTGACGGATGGCTCCAGGCTTGAGCGCTCCTGACGGATGGCTCCAGGCTTGAGCGCTCCTGACGGATGGCTCCAGGCTTGAGCGCTCCTGACGGATGGCTCCAGGCTTGAGCGCTCCTGACGGATGGCTCCAGGCTTGAGCGCTCCTGACGGATGGCTCCAGGCTTGAGCGCTCCTGACTGACGGCTCCAGGCTTGAGCGCTCCTGACTGACGGCTCCAGGCTTGAGCGCTCCTCACGGATGGCTCCAGGCTTGAGCGCTCCTCACGGATGGCTCCAGGCTTGAGCGCTCCTCACGGATGGCTCCAGGCTTGAGCGCTCCTGGCGGACGGCTCCAGGCTTGAGCGCTCCTGGCGGATGGCTCCAGGCTTGAGCGCTCCTGGCGGATGGCTCCAGGCTTGAGCGCTCCTGACGGAGGGCTCCAGGCTTGAGCGCTCCTGACGGACGGCTCCAGGCTTGAGCGCTCCTGACGGACGGCTCCAGGCTTGAGCGCTCCTGACAGACGGCTCCAGGCTTGAGCGCTCCTGACGGACGGCTCCAGGCTTGAGCGCTCCTGACGGACGGCTCCAGGCTTGAGCGCTCCTGACGGATGGCTCCAGGCTTGAGCGCTCCTGACTGACGGCTCCAGGCTTGAGCGCTCCTGACTGACTGCTCCAGGCTTGAGCGCTCCTGACGGACGGCTCCAGGCTTGAGCGCTCCTGACGGATGGCTCCAGGCTTGAGCGCTCCTGACGGATGGCTCCAGGCTTGAGCGCTCCTGACGGATGGCTCCAGGCTGGCTCCAGGCTTGAGCGCTCCTGACGGATGGCTCCAGGCTTGAGCGCTCCTGACTGACGGCTCCAGGCTTGAGCGCTCCTGACTGACGGCTCCAGGCTTGAGCGCTCCTGACGGATGGCTCCAGGCTTGAGCGCTCCTGACTGACGGCTCCAGGCTTGAGCGCTCCTGACGGATGGCTCCAGGCTTGAGCGCTCCTGACGGATGGCTCCAGGCTTGAGCGCTCCTGACGGATGGCTCCAGGCTTGAGCGCTCCTGACGGATGGCTCCAGGCTTGAGCGCTCCTGACGGATGGCTCCAGGCTTGAGCGCTCCTGACGGATGGCTCCAGGCTTGAGCGCTCCTGACGGATGGCTCCAGGCTTGAGCGCTCCTGACGGATGGCTCCAGGCTTGAGCGCTCCTGACGGATGGCTCCAGGCTTGAGCGCTCCTGACGGATGGCTCCAGGCTTGAGCGCTCCTGACGGATGGCTCCAGGCTTGAGCGCTCCTGACGGATGGCTCCAGGCTTGAGCGCTCCTGACGGATGGCTCCAGGCTTGAGCGCTCCTGACGGATGGCTCCAGGCTTGAGCGCTCCTGACGGATGGCTCCAGGCTTGAGCGCTCCTGACGGATGGCTCCAGGCTTGAGCGCTCCTGACGGATGGCTCCAGGCTTGAGCGCTCCTGACGGATGGCTCCAGGCTTGAGCGCTCCTGACTGACGGCTCCAGGCTTGAGCGCTCCTGACTGACTGCTCCAGGCTTGAGCGCTCCTGACGGACGGCTCCAGGCTTGAGCGCTCCTGACGGATGGCTCCAGGCTTGAGCGCTCCTGACGGATGGCTCCAGGCTTGAGCGCTCCTGACTGACGGCTCCAGGCTTGAGCGCTCCTGACGGATGGCTCCAGGCTTGAGCGCTCCTGACTGACGGCTCCAGGCTTGAGCGCTCCTGACGGATGGCTCCAGGCTTGAGCGCTCCTGACGGATGGCTCCAGGCTTGAGCGCTCCTGACGGATGGCTCCAGGCTTGAGCGCTCCTGACGGATGGCTCCAGGCTTGAGCGCTCCTGACGGATGGCTCCAGGCTTGAGCGCTCCTGACGGATGGCTCCAGGCTTGAGCGCTCCTGACTGACGGCTCCAGGCTTGAGCGCTCCTGACTGACGGCTCCAGGCTTGAGCGCTCCTGACGGATGGCTCCAGGCTTGAGCGCTCCTGACGGATGGCTCCAGGCTTGAGCGCTCCTGACGGATGGCTCCAGGCTTGAGCGCTCCTGACGGATGGCTCCAGGCTTGAGCGCTCCTGACGGATGGCTCCAGGCTTGAGCGCTCCTGACGGATGGCTCCAGGCTTGAGCGCTCCTGACGGATGGCTCCAGGCTTGAGCGCTCCTGACGGATGGCTCCAGGCTTGAGCGCTCCTGACGGATGGCTCCAGGCTTGAGTGCTCCTGACGGATGGCTCCAGGCTTGAGCGCTCCTTACGGATGGCTCCAGGCTTGAGCGCTCCTGACGGATGGCTCCAGGCTTGAGCGCTCCTGACGGATGGCTCCAGGCTTGAGCGCTCCTGACGGATGGCTCCAGGCTTGAGCGCTCCTGACGGATGGCTCCAGGCTTGAGCGCTCCTGACGGATGGCTCCAGGCTTGAGCGCTCCTGACGGATGGCTCCAGGCTTGAGCGCTCCTGACGGATGGCTCCAGGCTTGAGCGCTCCTGACTGACGGCTCCAGGCTTGAGCGCTCCTGACTGACGGCTCCAGGCTTGAGCGCTCCTCACGGATGGCTCCAGGCTTGAGCGCTCCTCACGGATGGCTCCAGGCTTGAGCGCTCCTCACGGATGGCTCCAGGCTTGAGCGCTCCTGGCGGACGGCTCCAGGCTTGAGCGCTCCTGGCGGATGGCTCCAGGCTTGAGCGCTCCTGGCGGATGGCTCCAGGCTTGAGCGCTCCTGGCGGATGGCTCCAGGCTTGAGCGCTCCTGACGGATGGCTCCAGGCTTGAGCGCTCCTGACGGACGGCTCCAGGCTTGAGCGCTCCTGACGGACGGCTCCAGGCTTGAGCGCTCCTGACAGACGGCTCCAGGCTTGAGCGCTCCTGACGGACGGCTCCAGGCTTGAGCGCTCCTGACGGACGGCTCCAGGCTTGAGCGCTCCTGACGGATGGCTCCAGGCTTGAGCGCTCCTGACTGACGGCTCCAGGCTTGAGCGCTCCTGACTGACTGATCCAGGCTTGAGCGCTCCTGACGGACGGCTCCAGGCTTGAGCGCTCCTGACGGATGGCTCCAGGCTTGAGCGCTCCTGACGGATGGCTCCAGGCTTGAGCGCTCCTGACGGATGGCTCCAGGCTGGCTCCAGGCTTGAGCGCTCCTGACGGATGGCTCCAGGCTTGAGCGCTCCTGACTGACGGCTCCAGGCTTGAGCGCTCCTGACTGACGGCTCCAGGCTTGAGCGCTCCTGACGGATGGCTCCAGGCTTGAGCGCTCCTGACTGACGGCTCCAGGCTTGAGCGCTCCTGACGGATGGCTCCAGGCTTGAGCGCTCCTGACGGATGGCTCCAGCCTTGAGCGCTCCTGACGGATGGCTCCAGCCTTGAGCGCTCCTGACGGATGGCTCCAGGCTTGAGCGCTCCTGACGGATGGCTCCAGGCTTGAGCGCTCCTGACGGATGGCTCCAGGCTTGAGCGCTCCTGACGGATGGCTCCAGGCTTGAGCGCTCCTGACGGATGGCTCCAGGCTTGAGCGCTCCTGACGGATGGCTCCAGGCTTGAGCGCTCCTGACGGATGGCTCCAGGCTTGAGCGCTCCTGACGGATGGCTCCAGGCTTGAGCGCTCCTGACGGATGGCTCCAGGCTTGAGCGCTCCTGACGGATGGCTCCAGGCTTGAGCGCTCCTGACGGATGGCTCCAGGCTTGAGCGCTCCTGACGGATGGCTCCAGGCTTGAGCGCTCCTGACGGATGGCTCCAGGCTTGAGCGCTCCTGACGGATGGCTCCAGGCTTGAGCGCTCCTGACGGATGGCTCCAGGCTTGAGCGCTCCTGACGGATGGCTCCAGGCTTGAGCGCTCCTGACGGATGGCTCCAGGCTTGAGCGCTCCTGACGGATGGCTCCAGGCTTGAGCGCTCCTGACGGATGGCTCCAGGCTTGAGCGCTCCTGACGGATGGCTCCAGGCTTGAGCGCTCTTGACTGACGGCTCCAGGCTTGAGCGCTCCTGACGGATGGCTCCAGGCTTGAGCGCTCCTGACGGATGGCTCCAGGCTTGAGTGCTCCTGACGGATGGCTCCAGGCTTGAGCGCTCCTTACGGATGGCTCCAGGCTTGAGCGCTCCTGACGGATGGCTCCAGGCTTGAGCGCTCCTGACGGATGGCTCCAGGCTTGAGCGCTCCTGACGGATGGCTCCAGGCTTGAGCGCTCCTGACGGATGGCTCCAGGCTTGAGCGCTCCTGACGGATGGCTCCAGGCTTGAGCGCTCCTGACGGATGGCTCCAGGCTTGAGCGCTCCTGACGGATGGCTCCAGGCTTGAGCGCTCCTGACTGACGGCTCCAGGCTTGAGCGCTCCTGACTGACGGCTCCAGGCTTGAGCGCTCCTCACGGATGGCTCCAGGCTTGAGCGCTCCTCACGGATGGCTCCAGGCTTGAGCGCTCCTCACGGATGGCTCCAGGCTTGAGCGCTCCTGGCGGACGGCTCCAGGCTTGAGCGCTCCTGGCGGATGGCTCCAGGCTTGAGCGCTCCTGGCGGATGGCTCCAGGCTTGAGCGCTCCTGACGGAGGGCTCCAGGCTTGAGCGCTCCTGACGGACGGCTCCAGGCTTGAGCGCTCCTGACGGACGGCTCCAGGCTTGAGCGCTCCTGACAGACGGCTCCAGGCTTGAGCGCTCCTGACGGACGGCTCCAGGCTTGAGCGCTCCTGACGGACGGCTCCAGGCTTGAGCGCTCCTGACGGATGGCTCCAGGCTTGAGCGCTCCTGACTGACGGCTCCAGGCTTGAGCGCTCCTGACTGACTGCTCCAGGCTTGAGCGCTCCTGACGGACGGCTCCAGGCTTGAGCGCTCCTGACGGATGGCTCCAGGCTTGAGCGCTCCTGACGGATGGCTCCAGGCTTGAGCGCTCCTGACGGATGGCTCCAGGCTGGCTCCAGGCTTGAGCGCTCCTGACGGATGGCTCCAGGCTTGAGCGCTCCTGACTGACGGCTCCAGGCTTGAGCGCTCCTGACTGACGGCTCCAGGCTTGAGCGCTCCTGACGGATGGCTCCAGGCTTGAGCGCTCCTGACTGACGGCTCCAGGCTTGAGCGCTCCTGACGGATGGCTCCAGGCTTGAGCGCTCCTGACGGATGGCTCCAGGCTTGAGCGCTCCTGACGGATGGCTCCAGGCTTGAGCGCTCCTGACGGATGGCTCCAGGCTTGAGCGCTCCTGACGGATGGCTCCAGGCTTGAGCGCTCCTGACGGATGGCTCCAGGCTTGAGCGCTCCTGACGGATGGCTCCAGGCTTGAGCGCTCCTGACGGATGGCTCCAGGCTTGAGCGCTCCTGACGGATGGCTCCAGGCTTGAGCGCTCCTGACGGATGGCTCCAGGCTTGAGCGCTCCTGACGGATGGCTCCAGGCTTGAGCGCTCCTGACGGATGGCTCCAGGCTTGAGCGCTCCTGACGGATGGCTCCAGGCTTGAGCGCTCCTGACGGATGGCTCCAGGCTTGAGCGCTCCTGACGGATGGCTCCAGGCTTGAGCGCTCCTGACGGATGGCTCCAGGCTTGAGCGCTCCTGACGGATGGCTCCAGGCTTGAGCGCTCCTGACGGATGGCTCCAGGCTTGAGCGCTCCTGACGGATGGCTCCAGGCTTGAGCGCTCCTGACGGATGGCTCCAGGCTTGAGCGCTCCTGACGGATGGCTCCAGGCTTGAGCGCTCCTGGCGGATGGCTCCAGGCTTGAGCGCTCTTGACGGATGGCTCCAGGCTTGAGCGCTCTTGACGGATGGCTCCAGGCTTGAGCGCTCCTGACGGATGGCTCCAGGCTTGAGCGCTCCTGACGGATGGCTCCAGGCTTGAGCGCTCCTGACGGATGGCTCCAGGCTTGAGCGCTCCTGACGGATGGCTCCAGGCTTGAGCGCTCCTGCCGGATGGCTCCAGGCTTGAGCCTTGTAGGGAGATTAGGAACCAGGCAACATGACAAGGTTCTGTCGACCCTGCCTTTGATATAGTTGCATGTTAGGCCTTGTTGTTTCCACTTGCAATCGATGATTGGATGCCTGTAATTCGCAATATCCGTCAACTAGAAACAATCACCATACAACAATACTGCAATACACTGGCATCTACCTGTTTCCCCATGTCTTCCTAGTTTCCCTTATCCCGCCTCTCTCCCTGCTTGCCCATGCCTCCCTGTTTCCCCGTCTTTCCATGATTCACCGTGTCTCCCGTTTTCCCCATATCCCCACGTTTCCGCCTGTATCGTTGTTTCACCATGTCTCCATCCCTGTTCCCCATGCTTTCCTTTTTCCCCATGTCTCTGCGATTCACCATGTCTCTTTGTTTCCTCGTATCTCCTTGTTTCCCATGTCATTCACTGCTTCCCATGTCATTCACTGCTTCCCATGTCATTCACTGCTTCCCATGTCATTCACTGCTTCCCATGTCATTCACTGCTTCCCATGTCATTCACTGCTTCCCATGTCATTCACTGCTTCCCATGTCATTCACTGCTTCCCATGTCATTCACTGCTTCCCATGTCATTCACTGTTTCCCATGTCATTCACTGCTTCCCATGTCATTCACTGCTTCCCATGTCATTCACTGCTTCCCATGTCATTCACTGCTTCCCATGTCATTCACTGCTTCCCATGTCATTCACTGTTTCCCATGCATCCCTATTCCACCGTGTCTCCCTGTTTCCCAACCCTCCTTGGTTCCCCTTTCGAACATTATCACTATACATCCTTGTTACCCCATGTCCCTTGTTTTACCTTGTCTCCCTGTCACACCTTCTTTCTCCATTCCTTAGTCTTTCACCTTGTCTCCCTGTTTCACCATACTTCCGTGTCTCCTTAATTCCACAGCTATCCCTGTTTCCTCATGTCATGCCACCCTGTTTCCCCATGACTCCCCCTTTCCCCATCTCCCTGATTCCACCAGGTCTCACCTTTTCCACGAAAATCCCTGTCTCCTCATGTCCCCTTGTTTCCCCATAGCATTTCTTGTTTCCCCACACTTCACGGTTTCCCCATGCCTCCCTATTTCACCGCGACTCCCTGTTTTCCCATGCCTATACATCATTGTTTCCCCATATCTCCTAGTTTCTGCATATCTCCCTGTTTCATCGTTCCTATTTTCCCAGGTCACTCCCTGTTTCACCTTGCCTCACCGTTTCACCATGTCTCCCATGTTTTCCCATGTCCCCTTGTTACCCCACGTCCCCTTGTTTCCCCACGTCCCCTTGTTTCCCCACGTCCCCTTGTTTCCCCACGTCCCCTTGTTTCCCCACGTCCCCTTGTTTCCCCATGTCCCCTTCTTTCCTCGTGTCTCCCTGTTTCACCGTTCTTCCCTGATTCTCCATGTCTCACCTTTTTCCACGCCTTCCTGTTTTACCATGTCTTCCTCTTTCCCCATGTCTCCCTTCTTCCCCATGTATCCATGTCTCCCCATGACTCCATGATTCCTCCTGCCTCCCCATTTCTTCATGTTTTCCAACATCTCTGTGTTTCCCTATTCTTCTCTGTGTCTTTGTGTCTCACGGGTTCACCATGCCTCCCTTTATCCCCATGTTTCCCCTTTTCCCATGCTTCCTGTCATGGTTGCCTTTTTTTTTTTTCCCTTTTCCCCTGTTTTACAATTACTCCTTGTTTCACCATGTCTCTAGCTTTAAGCCTTTGCCACCCAGTTCCCCCATGCCCCACTGTTTTTCCATGTCTTACTGTTTCACTATACCGCTAAGATTCCCCATGCATCCCTTCTTCACAATACCTTCTTGTTTCCCCATGCTTCCCTGCTTCCCCCATATCCCCTTGTTTCCACATATCTTCCTGATTCCCTGTTTTCCCATATCCCCCTGGTTCCCCATGTCACCCCATGTCGCCCCATATCACCCCATGTCACCCCGTGTCGCCCCGTGTCGCCCCATGTCACCCCATGCCACCCCATGTCACCCCATATCACCCATGTCACCCCATGTCGCCCCATGTCGCCCCATGTCACCCCATGTCACCCCATGTCGCCCCATCTCACCCCATGTCTCCCCATGTCACCCCATGCCACCCCATGTCACCCCATGTCACCCCATGTCGCCCCATGTCGCCCCATGTCACCCCATATCACCCCGTGTCGCCCCATGTCGCCCCATGTCACCCCATGTCACCCCATATCACCCCATATCACCCCATATCACCCCGTGTCACCCCATATCACCCCATGTCGCCCCATGTCACCCCGTATCACCCCGTGTCACCCCATATCACCCCATGTCACCCCATGTCGCCCCATATCACCCCATATCACCCCGTGTCGCCCCATGTCGCCCCATGTTCTCCATATCGCTCCATGTTCCCCATGTTCACCATAGAGGGTGTTACCGGAAACCCCAAACCTGAGATGCTTATCCCCTTGCAGGAAAACCTAGGGAAACAAGAATATACTGGGTAATAAGGAGACATCGTGAAACCTCCTTCCTCTTCTCTTCCCATCTCCCTCGGCTCCACATTTTTCCCGTTCGCCTCTCTTTCTACATGTTCCCCAACTTTCCCCTTTCCCCCATTTCTCTATCGCTCCCCATGTTTCCCCTTGTCTCCCATTTTCAACAACTTCCTTAATTCCCCATTCTTCTCTTATTCTTCATGCCTCCCTGTTTCCTTCCCCATGTCTCCCAATCTCCCCAAGATTTTCCATTTTCCCTTGTACTGTAAGATTCACCAGCTCGAACACCTCCGTGATTTTCTGAAAATTTCCGCACACTGCTCCTGAACAAAATGTATCACGATAAGTGTTCAACATACACCTCCACAGAATAGAACAGACTAAATAAAAAGCCCCGTTATGGCTGAAATCATGATGAGAAGCTCAAAATTTAAAATGGCACGAAAAACGGGTAAGCTCACGCATTTTCTTGAGTTTAGTCTGTAGGAAACAAGCAGTAACGTATGAGATGAAAGATTTCAGGTTGTGCTCTCATCTGTTGACAGTTTGCACAGAATCTATAACATAAAACCACGACGTCTATATCAGAATCTGACAGTACACCTAGTCCGCGGTATTTTAACCGCCTCTATCTTAACCGCGCGAGGGTACTTCTCCTTGGTCAAACGTTTTTATACGACTAGTTTTGAAATTTATTGAGGGTAGAATCTAGCATACCCTTTGTGAGGCGGCGGAAGTCAAAACCTGGTCAATGCCGATCCGCCCTCTATTTCGGAGCACTAAGTGTGAGTTTCTTTAGAAGGAAATGCTTCTGGCTGCGAAACAATAGCCTTAAAGTCTCTGGGTGCCCATCTCATTGCCCAAAAATGAACAAAGGGTGTTTGAAGCAAAACAGTTCACGTGGTTAAAATACCGCGGACTAGGTGTACGATCAAATCCCGTGTGAAGAACTGTAAGGGGGCCTTAGCTTGGCGGGAACCTTGGTATGGTTGGCTGGCTTCGGGTTAGTTCGCTCAAGGTTCAGGGCGAGTCCCATGAGTTCATCTGGGGAAAAAGTCGTAATTGTTACGTAACTTCGACAAAGCTGCGTTATGTACAGTATGACGAAAAAAAAACGCAGCGCGTCAGCACTGCGCCAAACGAAGTTGCACCATGTGGACTCAGCACTCCGCTCAAACAAAACTCGTATCCCGAATCACATTCAACGTGGTTCGCGAGCGGTAACCCGGGCCGGTTGCGAAACGACAGTGCCAAAATTGGCCGTTCGCCTTTTCTGGGCAAACTGTTAGATTGGGAATTAGGGTTACGCAGACCTGTTTGAGGAAGGTACGGACCTTGAAAGCTGTTTTTGAATGCCTTTAATGAGAACCTTTTGACGCATTCAGCGTGTCAATGTCGCGCGTCATTTAAGACGGATGAATACAGTAGTCCAGTATGAAGGGTTACAAAAGCAAGAACAGGGTTACATCGACCACATGAACTGAAAACGAACTCGTGGAACACGCCCTCGGAACCTCAAAGTTCGGGACAGCCTCAACTGGGGGGAATTCGCTCCGAGCCTCTGTGCTCAAACTTGGGGACCGCCCAACCAAACCACCGCCTCTTCGAACTGGAACAGCAGCGCAAATAGGGTTACAGGAGCGCACCAACACCAGCGACAACCTCGGGTGCGGGCAGCCTCGCGAAATTGGCTTGGGCACAAGTCGCACAACCGCTCAAAACCCTACCAAACCGCTATAGAGTGACCGCGAAATCTGAGGGTGTCAGTAAAGAGTTCAATTGCTGCTCGAAACCTTACCCAACCGCCCTTTAGTGACCGCAACTGCTCTGCATCCGAAATATTTGGAGCCTTGAAAGCTCCCCGCGGCGCAAACACCCGCCTTTCCGTGGCTGCGGTGTTCCGCTTTTCCCTCCCCAAGCCTCGAGTCTGTCTCTCTCCGCATCTCGCTGCATCTCCCCTCTCGCGTGACCAGCAGCAGATCTGCCAACACCAGCCGCTAATCTGCCTTCAAAACCACCACGCAAACCTCGTTTCACTCAAAGCTCCTTTCAACTCTTGTTGCTACTACCCTCCTGGTCGTGGTTGTTCTGTTGATTGCCTCATCCTTCCAGTTCGAAATGGCCTCAGACTACCCTTCGTTTGTTTCCGCGCTTAGCTTTTGGAAGCACAGCGAGAAACAGGCAAAATCGTGCCTGCAGCGTTCGAGTTCCAACAGCAGCACGAATCCCGTTCTCCCACCCATCGCTGCAGCGCCACTGCTGCTAGAGCTGCCAGCGGATGCTGCAGCTTCGGATGCTGCAGCCTTGTATGTTGCAGCTTCGGATGTTGCCGCTTCGGATGCTACAGCTTTGGACGCTGATGTCCCTGATGCTGCGCCTTCAAATGCTGCGGGAGCGTCTCATGTTGAAGCATCGCATGCCGAAGCGGCCGATGCTGCACCTTCGATTGCTGAACCATCCGATCCTGCAGCTGCGGAAGCGAAACTGTCACATCCTGCAGCGCAGGATGCGGAAGCCTTGAATCGCAGATTGTCGGATGATGCAGGCGCTTGTAACGCTGTAGCATCACATGCCGCAGCATCAGACCCTCTCATTTCAGCTTGCGCCAAGTCAGTAAGTGCAGTCGTACCTTCGCGCATCCCGAAACCGAGCAAGGGAGCAGCGATTAGGAGGCGAGTGGAGGGAACGACACTGATTCCCAGGCCTAAATATGCCGCACCGCGCAGGGAGGTGAGGGGAGTGGAAGTTGAAGCTGCAGGCAAGCGGCCTCGCAGGACGTCCAAGGCCGTGCCGGCTGCAATCCTACGCCGGCCATGGCGCCCTTGACTGCTGCACGCATAAAAAAAAAAGAACGAAAAAAGGCAAAAAAAAATCTATCACTGAAATCCTTGAAAATAAAAAATGATGAAAATGGAGGTTGAAAAGAGGAAAGCTTGGGGTATGAGATGGAGGGATGGCATGGAAGGCATGTGAGAGGCACAGCACAGCTACACGCCGAGAGCACCGACTGGGGGATGGGTGTGGTGTGGTTGGGGAACACGGTGGCACTACCCTTTTTTTGCGCCTTGCTTCACAGCAGGGTGTTTGTGGGAGTGTGGTGGGTGGTTGATGGCTGGAGGGGGTGAGGGAAAGCTGCTGTGCTGCTGTGCGTTCAATGACACCTCCAGGCTTGAGCGCTCCTGACGGATGGCTCCAAGCTTGAGCGCTCCTGACGGATGGCTCCAGGCTTGAGCGCTCCTGACGGATGGCTCCAGGCTTGAGCGCTCCTGACGGATGGCTCCAGGCTTGAGCGCTCCTGACGGATGGCTCCAGGCTTGAGCGCTCCTGACGGATGGCTCCAGGCTTGAGGGCTCCTGCCGGATGGCTCCAGGCTTGAGCGCTCCTAACAGATGGCTCCAGGCTTGAGCGCTCCTGACGGATGGCTCCAGGCTTGAGCGCTCCTGACGGATGGCTCCAGGCTTGAGCGCTCCTGACGGATGGCTCCAGGCTTGAGCGCTCCTGACAGATGGCTCCAGGCTTGAGCCTTGTAGGGAGAGTTAGAAAGTAGGGAATATGACGAGTATGTGCTGTAGACCCTGCGTTTGATATAGTTGCCTATACACTGTTATGCCTTGTATTCCATGTGTGCACTTGCAATTGGTGATTGGGTATGGGCATTTGATTCACAATGACAGCCCGAAGCAGGAATCACAATGCTGCAGTGCACTGCCATCTCCCTGTGACTTGCTATGCTCTCTTATCTTTCTATATTCCCATGTGCCCTGATTCACCATCTCTCCCTGTTTTCCTATGCCTTCCTGTTTCCCCCTCTCCCTGTTTCATCATCTCTCACTGATTCCCCATGTCTCCCTGTTTTCCCATTCCCCTAATCTCACAATTTCTCCATTTTCCCCATGCCTTGTTGTTTCTCATGTCTCACTGCTTTCTCATGCCTCCCTGTTTCCCTTCCCCATGTTTCCGTTTTTCCCTATGTCTTGCCTTTCCCCATTTCCTTATCTTTCGTTCCCCATGTATGCCTATTTCTCCACGTCTTTCCGTCTCTTTGTTTTCCCATCCCTTCCTTTTACCCCATGTCCCGTAGGTTCCCGTTTCCCTATGTTTCCCCATGTCTTTCTGTTTCCCCATGTCTTTCTGTTTCCCCATGTCTTTCTGTTTCCCCATGTCTTTCTGTTTCCCCATGTCTCGCCTTGCCCCCATTGCCCTATGTTTCCCTTTGTCTTCCTGTCTTCCTATATCCCTAATTTTCCCCATTTTCCTCACCATCTCTCTCTGTTTCCTGATGCCACCCTGTTTCCACATGACTCCCTTTTTCCCCATCTTCCTGATTCCACATCTCTCCCTGCTTCTTGATGCCACCCTGTTTCCACATGACTCCCCTTTTCCCCATCTTCCTGATTCCACATCTCTCCCTGCTTCTTAATGCCTCCCTGTTTCCACATGACTCCCCTTTTCCCCATATCCCTGATTCCACATCTCTCCCTGCTTCTTGATGCCTACATGACTCCCCTTTTTCCCATCTCCCTGATTCCACATCTCTCTTTGTTTCCCATGCCCCCCTGTTTCATCATGCCTCCCTGTTCCCCATGCCCCCTTTTTCCCCGCGTCTCTCTATTTCCCCATGCCTTCTGTTTGCCCATGTCTCGTTTCAACATGCCTCCATGTCTCCCCAATTCACCATGCCCCCCTGTTTTCACACGTGTCTTTGTTTTCTTAGGCCTCTTCGTTTCTTCATGCCTTACTCTTTCCTCATGTCGCGCGTTTTCCCCATGTTCCTTGTTTCCCCATGTGTCCCTTTTTCCCTATCTTCCCAATTCCACATCACTCCATGCTTCACCAAGTCTCACCATTTCCTCGTGTCCCCCTGCTTCCCCGTGCCTCACCATCTCCCCATGTCTCCCTGATTCACCTTGTCTCCTTGTCACTCCCTGTTTCCCCATACCTCCCTGTTTCCCCATACCTCCCTGTTTCACCTTGTCTCCCTTCCCTGTCACTCCCTCTTTCCCCACCTCACTGTTTCAACTTGTCTCCCTGTCACTCCCTGTTTCCCCAAGCCTCACTGTGTCCCCCTAAACCCCGAGTCCTCATGTTTCCCACGTCTCCCACCATGTCTGTACTTTGAAGCCTATGCCACCTGCTTCCCCCATGCCCCTCTCTTCCCCATCTCTCCCTAGTTCAGAATTCTCTAGTTCCCACGCCACCCTGTGTTCACCCCGTCACCCGGTTTCCTTGATCCCACTTCTCTCCTTTCCCTGTGAGCCCCTCTTTCCTCCTCCATGTCTCGAGTTTCATCATGTCACAACTCTGTAGTAACCCATGCCACCTTGTTCCCTCATCCCTCTCCTTTATCCCATCCCTCTCTCTTCCCTCATGCCTCACAATTTCCTAAATCCACAGAATTCCTCATCTCTCTATATTTCTTCATGCCCAGAGTAACCATTCTTCCCTACTTCCCCATGTCTCGTTTTTCCCCGTGCCTCAGTATTTCCCCATGCCTTTCTATTTCCCCATCGCTCTTCCAGCATGTATTTTGTATTTGTTAGCGTGTTTCCATGCATCCTATACCTCATTGTTTCCGTCTTCGCCATGTTCACCGTACTTCCTTGTTTCTCCATGCCTCCCTATTTCCCCATGCTTCCCTGTTTCCGTGTTTCTCCAAGTCTCCCTGTTTCATCAGGCCCCCCTGCTTCCCCATGTCTCTCTGCTTTCAAACGCTACTCCCCATGTCACTCTCTTTTCCCAACTCTCCCCTTTTCCCCATGTCTCCCCTTTTCCCTATCTCTCCCCTTTTACCTTGACCACTATTTCACTATTCCTCACTGTTTCACCATTCCTCACTATTTCACCATTCCTCACTGTTTCACCATGACTCACCGTTTCACCACACCTAACTGTTTCACCATATCTCATTGTTTCACCATACCTCACACTTTCACCATACCTCATTGTTTTACCATACCAAACTGTTTCACCATACCCCACTGTTTCGCCATATCTCAGTGTTTCACCATTCCTCACTGTTTCACCATGACTCACCGTTTCACCATACCTAACTGTTTCACCAGATCTCGTTGTTTCACCATACCTCACTCTTTCACCATACCTCACTGTTTCACCATGCCTCACTGTTTCACCATACCTCCCTGCTTCGCCATACTCAACTGTTTCACCATATCTCACTGTTTCGCCATACTGGACGTTCGTGCATTGCGTTGAATGAAAGTAAAGTAGACCACGCATGTGTAATTTATATGAATTGTTTGAAATTCTAGAATATCATGGAACAACGTAATTCCATGAATTTTATTCAATTAAATATTTTTATATATCTGGTGTAACACAAAATGCATGTATGAGAGATAATGTTTCAAGCTATAATAAGTTGATCTTGTGTCCACAAAATTTTGACAAAAGAAAACGTTTATGGGAGAAACTCAAAGTAATATCAAACCTTGAAGAAGTCCTATAAGGAGGTTGGTACGGTAGCTGGCCGTGCCTGGTGGACTGGTATGCTCAAAGGTCCGAAACCTGAGTTCGGGGACAGCCTCAGATGTGAGGAAATTCGCTCCGAGCCTCTGTGCTGAACTTTGGCGCCCGACCAAACCACCACCTCTTCGAACCGACACAGCAGCGCAGAAAGCAGCGCACCAGCAGCGGCGACAATCTCGGGTGCGGGAAGCCTCGCGAGATCTCAGCTTGGGCACAAGTCGGACTGCTCTGGAAAGCATACCCCAACCACCAGGAGTGTCAGAAACCCTACTCTAAATTGGCATCAAAATAGCTCAACGCTGCTAGAAACCCTACTCAACCGCTCTAGAGTGACCCCAAATGCTCTGCATCCGAAATATTTGGAGCCTTGAAAGCTCCCCGCGGCGCAACACCCGCCTTTCCGTGGCTGCGGTGTTCCGCCTTCCCCTCCCCAAGCCTCGAATCTGTCTCTCTCCGCATCTCGCTGCATCTCCCTTCTCTCCCCACAGCAGCACATCTGGGCGATGTTCGGCTGCCACAGGGGATGGGGGGAGGGGATGGGATGGAGCATCAGAACGCCGAGCCTCCTGGTTCGATCTGTTCGAACCAGACAGAACACTTCGGTCAGACATGAAAATTGTGAAAAAAAAGTGTCGGACGTGAGCCTAAAACGCGACGCGAACCCCGCGCTAGGCTTGAACCCGCGCCGCGTCCTCCCCCCGATTCCCCCCCATGGCGGAAAAACTCCGCCCTAGTGTTCAGGGCATGGAAAGTGCATTCCCGTGGGTGGTCTCAGCCCACGGGGAATGAAAAATCCATGCCCCCTTCCACAATTTTCGTTTATACATTTACTCCACACTCTAAAAAACAAATAACCCGGACATTAAAACTATAATGCTAAACACAAAGATTCGAAATGAACTCGCCAAAATTAAATAAGGTCGAATCGTCATTTACACCCTTGAATTAATTTATGGTGTACAGAATTCAAGTAGAGCAAGCTACCCAAACAAATCGCAGCAGTAAACTGTTCAGCTCGCGAAGTTTCGTTTCGCGCGGCTGCAGTTTCGTGGGCCCCCATTTCCCGAGTCGCTCCTCCGCGCCTTTTCCCCCAAACTTTCCGCTTCCGCCTGGACTCCAGACTTGGAGTCAACGACGGTTGACTCCGAGCTGACCACCCCGAACTAGAAACCCTAGCTGCAAATCTGATCCCTCCCCCCATCCCTCGGTCGATGCCCTGTGGCAGCCGAACATCGCCCTGCCAACACCAGCCATAAGTCTGCCTACAAGTCCACCATGCCAGCCTTATCTCACTCATCACAAGCTTCTACCCTGCTCGTTGTCCAAATTCTGTTTGCTTCCTCGTCCATTCACTTCGAAATGGCCTCAGACTACCCATCGTTTGTTTCCGCGCTTAGCTTTTGGAAGAAGAGCGAGAAACAGGCAAATTCGTGCCTGCAGCGTGCGAGTTTCAACAGCAGCACCAATCTCGTTCTCCCAACCATTGCTGCAGCGACACTGCTGCTAGAGCTGCCGGCGGTGACGTCGGATGCTCCAGGATTGTCGGACGCTGAAGCATCGCATGCTGAACCGTCGCATGCTGAGTCGACAAATCCTGAAGCGCCGCATGCTGAAGCGTTTGATGCTGCCTCTTCGAAAGCCGAATTGTCCGACGCTGGAGCTTCGGAAGCGAAACTGTCTGACCTGCAGCGCAGGATGCCGAAGCCTCGACTACCAGATTGTCGGATGCAGCATCGCATGCTGCTGCATCAGACCCGCTCATTTCACTTCCAAAGGCGGCTTGCGCGAAGTCAGTGAGTATGGTCCTACCGTCGCGCATCCCGAAACCAAGCAAGGGAGCAGCGATACGGCGAATGGAGGGAACGACACTGATTCCCAGACCTAAGTGTGCCGCACCGCACAGGGAGGTGAGGGGAGTGGAAGTTGAAGCTGCAGACAAGCGGCCTCGCAGGACGTCCAAGGCCGTGCCGGCTGCAATCCCACGCCGGCCATGGCGCCCTTGACTGCTGCACGCATAAATAAAAAAGAACGAAAAAAGGCAAAAAAAAATCTATCACTGAAATCCTTGAAAATAAGAAATGATGAAAATGGAGGTTGAAAAGAGGAAAGCTTGGGGTATGAGATGGAGGGATGGCATGGAAGGCATGTGAGAGGCACAGCACAGCTACACGCCGAGAGCACCGACTGGGGGATAGGTGTGGTGTGGTTGGGGAACACGGTGGCACTACCCTTTTTTTGCGCCTTGCTTCACAGCAGGGTGTTTGTGGGAGTGTGGTGGGTGGTTGATGGCTGGAGGGGGTGAGGGAAAGCTGCTGTGCTGCTGTGCCTTCAATGCACCAATACAAGGCTTGAGCGCTCCTGACGGATGGCTCCAGGCTTGAGCGCTCCTGACGGATGGCTCCAGGCTTGAGCGCTCCTGACGGATGGCTCCAGGCTTGAGCGCTCCTGACGGATGGCTCCAGGCTTGAGGGCTCCTGCCGGATGGCTCCAGGCTTGAGCGCTCCTGCCGGATGGCTCCAGGCTTGAGCGCTCCTGCCGGATGGCTCCAGGCTTGGGCGCTCCTGACGGATGGCTCCAGGCTTGGGCGCTCCTGACGGATGGCTCCAGGCTTGAGCGCTCCTGACGGATGGCTCCAGGCTTGAGCGCTCCTGACGGATGGCTCCAGGCTTGAGCGCTCCTGACGGATGGCTCCAGGCTTGAGCGCTCCTGACGGATGGCTCCAGGCTTGAGCGCTCCTGACGGATGGCTCCAGGCTTGAGCGCTCCTAACGGATGGCTCCAGGCTTGAGCGCTCCTGACGGATGGCTCCAGGCTTCCTGACGGATGGCTCCAGGCTTGAGCGCTCCTGACTGACGGCTCCAGGCTTGAGCGCTCCTGACGGATGGCTCCAGGCTTGAGCGCTCCTGACGGATGGCTCCAGGCTTGAGCGCTCCTGACGGATGGCTCCAGGCTTGAGCGCTCCTGACGGATGGCTCCAGGCTTGAGCGCTCCTGACGGATGGCTCCAGGCTTGAGCGCTCCTGACGGATGGCTCCAGGCTTGAGCGCTCCTGACGGATGGCTCCAGGCTTGAGCGCTCCTGACGGATGGCTCCAGGCTTGAGCGCTCCTGACGGATGGCTCCAGGCTTGAGCGCTCCTGACGGATGGCTCCAGGCTTGAGCGCTCCTGACGGATGGCTCCAGGCTTGAGCGCTCCTGACGGATGGCTCCAGGCTTGAGCGCTCCTGACGGATGGCTCCAGGCTTGAGCGCTCCTGACGGATGGCTCCAGGCTTGAGCGCTCCTGACGGATGGCTCCAGGCTTGAGCGCTCCTGACTGACGGCTCCAGGCTTGAGCGCTCCTGACGGACGGCTCCAGGCTTGAGCGCTCGTGACGGATGGCTCCGCGCTCCTGACGGATGGCTCCAGGCTTGAGCGCTCCTGACGGATGGCTCCAGGCTTGAGCGCTCCTGACGGATGGCTCCAGGCTTGAGCGCTCCTGACGGATGGCTCCAGGCTTGAGCGCTCCTGACGGATGGCTCCAGGCTTGAGCGCTCCTGACGGATGGCTCCAGGCTTGAGCGCTCCTGACGGATGGCTCCAGGCTTGAGCGCTCCTGACGGATGGCTCCAGGCTTGAGCGCTCCTGACGGATGGCTCCAGGCTTGAGCGCTCCTGACGGATGGCTCCAGGCTTGAGCGCTCCTGACGGATGGCTCCAGGCTTGAGCGCTCCTGACGGATGGCTCCAGGCTTGAGCGCTCCTGACGGATGGCTCCAGGCTTGAGCGCTCCTGACGGATGGCTCCAGGCTTGAGCGCTCCTGACGGATGGCTCCAGGCTTGAGCGCTCCTGACGGATGGCTCCAGGCTTGAGCGCTCCTGACGGATGGCTCCAGGCTTGAGCGCTCCTGACGGATGGCTCCAGGCTTGAGCGCTCCTGACGGATGGCTCCAGGCTTGAGCGCTCCTGACGGATGGCTCCAGGCTTGAGCGCTCCTGACGGATGGCTCCAGGCTTGAGCGCTCCTGACGGATGGCTCCAGGCTTGAGCGCTCCTGACGGATGGCTCCAGGCTTGAGCGCTCCTGACGGATGGCTCCAGGCTTGAGCGCTCCTGACGGATGGCTCCAGGCTTGAGCGCTCCTGACGGATGGCTCCAGGCTTGAGCGCTCCTGACGGATGGCTCCAGGCTTGAGCGCTCCTGACGGATGGCTCCAGGCTTGAGCGCTCCTGACGGATGGCTCCAGGCTTGAGCGCTCCTGACGGATGGCTCCAGGCTTGAGCGCTCCTGACGGATGGCTCCAGGCTTGAGCGCTCCTGACGGATGGCTCCAGGCTTGAGCGCTCCTGCCGGATGGCTCCAGGCTTGAGCGCTCCTGCCGGATGGCTCCAGGCTTGAGCGCTCCTGCCGGATGGCTCCAGGCTTGAGCGCTCCTGCCGGATGGCTCCAGGCTTGAGCGCTCCTGCCGGATGGCTCCAGGCTTGAGCCTTGTAGGGAGATTAGGAACCAGGCAACATGACAAGGTTCTGTCGACCCTGCCTTTGATGTCGTTGCATGTTAGGCCTTGTTGTTTCCACTTGCAATCGATGATTGGATGCCTGTAATTCGCAATGTCAGTCAGCTAGAAACAATCACCATACAACAATACTGCAATACACTTGCATCTACCTGTTTCCCCATGTCTTCCTATTTTCCCTTATCCCGCCTCTCTCCCTGCTTGCCCATGCCTCCCTGTTTCCCCATCTTTCCATGATTCACCGTGTCTCCCCTTTTCCCCATATCCCCATGTTTCCGCCTGTATCGCTGTTTCATCTTGTCTCCATCCCTGTTCCCCATGCTTTCCTTTTTCCCTATGTCTCTGCGATTCACCATGTCTCTTTGTTTCCTCGTATCTCCTTGTTTTCCATGTGCTTGTGTTTTCCCATGCCTTTCTGTTTCTCCATGCCTTCCTATTTCCCCATGTCTCCTTGTTTCTCTATGTTTTCGTTTTTCCCCATGTCTCCCTCGTTCTTCATGCCACCCTTGTTCCCCATGTGTCTCCTTTTTTTCACCATCATGTCCCTAAATCCTCATCTCTCCTTGTTTCACTATGTGTTACCGTTTCCACAAGTATCCCCGTTTCGTCGTTTCCCCGTGCCTCACGGTTTCCCCATGCCTTCCTATTTAACCGTGTCTCCCTGTTTTCCCATGCCTCACTGTTTTCCCATGTCTCTGTGTTTCATCATGTCTCCACGACTTCCTTTTTTTATCATTCCTCCCTTTTTTCACATGTCCCCCTGTTTCCCTGTTTCCCCATGCCTCCCTGTTTTCCCATGCCTCCTTGTTTCCCCATGTCTCCCTGTTTTCCCATGCCTCCCTGTTTTCCCATGCCTCCCTGTTTACCCATGTCTCCCTGTTTCACCATTCCTCCCAATTCTCCTGTGTCACTCCCTGTTTCACCATACCTCACTGTATCACCATGTCTCCCTGTTTCCCAAACCTTATGGCTTTCCCACTATGCAACCTTATCTCACCATGTATCTGTGTTTCCCCATGTCTTCCCTATTCTTCATCTCCCTGATTCCACATCTTTCCCTGTTTCACCAAGTACTGGTATCCCGTTTTCTCATGTCCCCCTGTTTCCCCATGTCACTCCTTGGTTCCTCATGCCTCCCTGTTTATCCATATCACTCCATGTTTTCCCATGCCTCAATGTTTCCCTATGTCTCTCGTTGTCACTAAACATCCTTGTTTCCCCAAGTCCTCTCGTTTCCCCATGTCTCCTTGTTTCCCCATATCTGCCTGTTTCACCACACTTGTTTGCCCTTGCTTTTCTTGTCTCCTTGTTTTCCATTCAGAGCATTTCGAGATGAGGTTTCAAGCTTCATTTGCACACAAATCACTGGTCTGCGTGGGTGTATGCATTTCTTCATGCCACATGCTTCGCCAAGTCACTCGGCCTATACATTAAAAAAAAGTCGCTGAAATTCTGCCTGCATGCACGGGATGCAGAGTAGCTTCTAAATCTTCCCAGCCTAGGCCAGTCCAGCAGCAGGGTGGCTGGCAGGAAGGGCGGGTTGGAGCATCAAGGGGGCGGGCCGTCAAGGGCGGGTGGCGGGGTGGGCGTGGAGGAAGTCGGAGACCGAGAGGAAGAGGTGCGAGCCCTGCTGCACCGCCCACTGCCCCACTCCCTCCACCGCCACTTGCACCTGCAGGTGCATGGAGGAGGGTGGTGGTGGTGGTGGTGGGCAGCATGAGGGACGGCATTCCATGCAGGAAGGGTGAAACGTGAAAGCGCACAAGCTGCAGCAAGGCTGGACACATGCATTTCTCCCACTCCCAGCACACAGTGGTCGCTCACATCACACTTGAGTTCACATTCACCGCACGGCATGGCTATGGGTGCTCACCTTGCCGCCTGCAGCGGCAATCTCCGCCTTGAGCTTGGCGGGGTCGCGAGCCATGAGCGCCACCTGCACTGCCGTGGCTGCCGCTGCATCGCCTGACAGGGACGCAGGGAGGACGGGTGCACAGAGGGCGATGCATGCAGGGAGGAGGTGGTTGACGGATGCATGCATGCGGCAGAACCACCTTCATTGCTGCACTTAGCTCCACGCTGACTCGAACATGTGTGCATAGGTGGATGGCATGCAGAGGGGTGGATGGACAAGAACAGATCAAGGAACACAGCAGAAGGTGAGATAGCAAAGAGTGGTTTGTGGGTACTTGGAATGAAAGTGCAAATGTGTCAATGGCATGGTGGTGAGATGGCACGGTGGTGAGATGGCATGGTGGCACGGGATGGTGGTGTGACAGCAAGGTGGTGAGGCAGTGAAGGTGCATGTGCAGTGCACGCAGTGGACAGAAGCAGGGCAGCACAGCACACATGGCAGGGAGGCCAGGTTGCCATCTAGAGCGCCCACCATTGCAGAGGTCAGCAGCGAGGGACGGCGAGAAGCAGAGAGCGGGGCGAATGAGCGTGAGTGTGAAGGTGGCCCCCGCCACCCCGCTGTACCGCTCCGATGCCAGCACCACCTGCTCGCCCCGGGAGGGGGGAAATGGGAAGGGGGGCGAGTTGGTATGTGCTAAGTCCACAGGCATGCAGTGCGTACAGCATTTTAAGAGTGTTGCGTACAGCATAGAAACAAGGAAACTGCTGCATGGGAGGGGCACATACGGCATGGGAGGGGCACATACGGCATGGGAGGAGCACATACGGCATGGGAGGAGCACATACAGCATGGGAGGAGCACATACGGCATGGGAGGAGCACATACGGCATGGGAGGAGCACATATGGCATGGGAGGGGCACATACGGCATGGGAGGGGCACATACGGCATGGGAGGGGCACATACGGCATGGGAGGGGCACATACGGCATGGGAGGAGCACATACGGCATGGGAGGGGCACATACGGCATGGGAGGAGCACATACGGCATGGGAGGGGCACATACGGCATGGGAGGAGCACATACGGCATGGGAGGAGCACATACGGCATGGGAGGGGCACATACGGCATGGGAGGGGCACATACGGCATGGGAGGAGCACATACGGCATGGGAGGAGCACATACGGCATGGGAGGGGCACATACGGCATGGGAGGGGCACATACGGCATGGGAGGGGCACATACGGCATGGGAGGGGCACATACGGCATGGGAGGGGCACATACGGCATGGGAGGGGCACATACGGCATGGGAGGGGCAGTAGACGGCAGAGAGTAGCGGCGCGCCCAATGCTTCCCGAATGTACTCCGCCTGGTGCAGGGGTGGTGCGGACAGGGCGGATGGGAGGGCATCGCGGTGGAGCAAAGAAAAGTGAGCGGAGCTGATGGGGAGAACTCAGTGAAAGCGATGGATGGGAGAAAGGGGAAGAGAGGAGAGGATGGGAAGAACACAGAGGTAGGAGGCGATCACAACGAATGCATAATAGAAACGATTTAGAGAGGGGCACTTGCGCCTCGTCGCAGAAGAGGCAGCACCTGAGCTGCCAGAATGCGTTGCAGCGCCGACTCCTCAGCACCGTCACCGCCCTCCTTGCCATTCTCCCCGTGTGCGCCGTCAGGTGCATCGCCCCCATGCACGTGAATGAATGCCTCCACGGCATCTGACGGCTCCAGCCCCGCCCGCTTGCGCAGCTTCTGCACCCTGTTCACCACCTGGTGGGGAGTACGGCGACAGTGGGGCAGCACAGGGGGCGGACACAAGAGGGTTGTCAACGAGGGAGGGGGGTGGTGGGAGCTCAGCACGTTGGGGGGATGGGAGCGTTGAGAAGATGTGGTTTGGGTTGGTGTGGTCAGGCGTGGCGTCACGGAGATGGTGGCGACAAGGGGTTGGAGGCTAACGTAAGCCAGAGTGGAAGCAGCCACTACACATCCAGACCCAGTGCCTGCGTGAGTGAATAGACGCACAAGGGAGAGGCGAGGCGAGAATGAAGAAGGGAGAAGTGTGCAGAGGAGCAACACAGAGCACAACGAGCAGCATTTGCAGGGTTGTGGGACTAGGCGGCATGACAGACCACTCCCCTTCCCCCCGTCATATATCACTCGCCTCACCTCGCGCGCAGCACCGGCATGGAGAAGCGCGGTGCCAGCTCACAGGTGGAGCACCACGAGAACAACGAGCAACACGAGAACAACGAGCAGCACGAGAACAACAAGCACGCCCCCTTGTGTCAACTCAACAGTCACCCCCCCCTTCATACTCGCATGCCTCACCTCGCGCGCAGTGCCAGCATCGAGCAACTCAGTATCGGCGCGCAGGTCCAGCACCACGAGCACCATTATGTGAGGTGCCTAAGTCATCCCTTGCCTCACCTCCCTGCCACCGCACTTCCCTCACCTCGCGCGCAGTGCCGGCATCCAGCAGGTCGGTGTCAGCGCGCAGGTCCAGCACGACGAGCACCTCGCCATCGCCCGCGGCGTCCATGTCGCCCGCCACACTGCCCTCGGGCGCCTTGAAGTCGCGCACCACCTGGTAGCCACACGATGGCACGCGTGTGGGCAATGGACGGCGGAGTGGAAGGTGTGGAGTGTGTGACAGGGGGGTGGAGAGAGGTGGTGAAGGTTTGGAAGAGAATGAGAGATGAGAAGAGGTTGGTAAAGGAGAAGGGGAAGGAAAAACGATGAAAGCAAGAGAGTGAAAACTACGCCTAGGAGGGATCTTCACCACCCACTCTCCTCCAACACCTTCCACATCCAAATTTCTCTCCAATCCACACCAACCACTCACCCCCCATCTTCCACTCAACACCCTTCTTTGCTTGCTCTACGTCCTACCGTCCCACCCAGAAACCGCCTCCCACGACCCTTGTCTCTGCCCCCCGTGCCTCCCACGACCCTTGTCTCTGCCCCCCGTGCCTCCCACGACCCTTGTCTCTGCCCCCCGTGCCTCCCACGACCCTTGTCTCTGCCCCCCGTGCCTCCCATGACCCTTGTCTCTGCCCCCCGTGCCTCCCACGACCCTTGTCTCTGGCCCCCGTGCCTCTCATCTCCGTCCCCCCCTGCCCCTCATCTCCACCCCCCTGTGCGCACCTTGATGTCGGAGGTGGAGAGCGTGTGGCCCGCCACCGTGACCTCCCCCGCCAGCTGCATGGCAGCAATGGCCGCCGCGTCCATCTCCTTCACCGCCTTCGCCACCGCGCCCATCGCCCTCCCCACGCGCCTCCCCAACACACTGCCATGCCACGTGCCCGTGGTGGGTGGTGGGTGGATAAGATGTTAGAAAAGGTAAGTGGTTGGGATGTGAGAGGAGGGAGGAGGGAGTAGATGCAGGGAGGGAGGAGGAGTACGGAGCGAATGGTGGGCTGCTTCGGCGCATGCACCGCGAGCAGACTGTGCAGGCACAGTGCAGCCTTGCCTTGCCGTGCTGCGATCTCATGTGGGAGGCAAGGCAAGGCACTCGGTTGTGTGTCTGGCAGCACGCACAGCTCTATTGTAGTACCCCACAACCCACTGGTGACAGTCTCCATGCACCCACCACACCACACCACACCACACGACACTGCACGACACCATGCGAAGCACAGCTGTTGCAAGCAATGCCGTTCATGCTGCTCTACAGTGCATCCATGTACACCAGTTGCTCGCTTCGACCACAGCTGCTGCAGCCAGGTACGGCATTTGTCTGCCTATTCGTGTGGTTCGGACCATACCTGAAGTCAGGTTCGGCGCGCACGGAGGTGTACTTGCTGGTGTCGGCGCAGGGCAGCACGGAGCGAACGTTCAGCTCCTCCCGCACGTACTACCGGGGCGAGGGGAGGGGGGGGAGGAAGGGAGGAGTGGGGGTGAGGAGGGAGGGGAGGAGGGGGTGGGGGGAGAAAGGAATGCTTTGTCGACTGGCACTCTAAGCGCGGCTTTTCTTGTCAAGGATGAGTTGGTTTGCTGGGGAGAGGGCCCGGTGAGTTGGTTTGCTGGGGAGAGGGCCCGGTGAGTTGGTTTGCTGGGGAGAGGGCCCGGTGAGTTGGTTTGCTGGGGAGAGGGCCCGGTGACGGGGGAATGAGGGTGAATGAAAGGTGAAAGTGGAGGGGGAAAGGAGACAGTGTGAATGAGGGTGAATCAAGTAACGATGTTCTTTGCGAATTCGTTACAGCTTAGTGTATGTGCTACACACAATTCCATGAACACGCAGCTTTCCCTGCCTCGCGTCACATATCTCGCCCCTCCTCACCTCACACAGCTTGCCCGTGATGTCTTCAAGGAACTGGGCGTCCGGGTGCACCACCACCATCTCCCTGCCCGCCCACACGGCACACACGCACGCACGACACGACACGACAGGGAGGAGGTGAGCAATGTGGCAGGGCATAATGCAGTGCACGTCCAAGGCCAGGAAAAAAAGTACTTGGTGGGACGAGGTGAAGGAAAAAAAGAGTTGGCATCCCACTAATAGGTTTAGCCAAGCAGTTGCTGGGCTTGGGCCTAACAGAAGGTGGTTGAATAGGTGCCGCCACATATGCCAGTAAATATGCCTGAGTGCCACACTGTCCCAACGGCCATTTCACAAGACCGGCATTTCATTGCTGTTGCTCACCTGAGGGGCGTCTTGAGCGGGCGGTTGTTGCGCTCGCGGATGTTGCGGGCGAGGTCGATGACCTTCATCATCCTCTCCACACTGCGCTCCGTGCGCTCGTCCACCTGGCGTGCACGAGAGCGAGGGGACGGGGGTGGGGGAAGTAGGGAGGAGAGGGAAAGGGGGAAAGCGAGCAGAGACACGAGCACGGGGATTCAATCAGCAGCAGTCAATCTTGTTGGAAGAGAGAATTGATACATTGAACAACGAGCCAGGAGGCCCTTTAGTACAAACAATGAGCAAGACAGAGATGAGAGGGAAGCTTACCCTATTGGCCAATAAGTTGGTTGTGGCCCAAGCAACCACAAATGTGTGTTGGTTGGGATTAGTTGAGCTAAGGACCAAAACCAACCACAAAATGTGGTTGAAGGGTACACTAAACAACCCCCCAATCTATAAGAGTGCTACACATCTAATTATAGCCTATGTATGTTGTATAAAATATGAAATTATAACAAATCTGCTGTGCTGCACGCATGCAGGGAGAAGTGAGGGAGAGAGGAAGGTACAGTAATAGGTGGGAGACGGCAAGCAAGGATGAGGCCATCTTTGAGCGAGGGTGTTGTGTTGCACTGGAAGACTTAATGAGTGCCTTGTGTGGAACAGTGGAAGCACATGAGCTGCTGCAGAGTCGTCCTGTAGCTGCTGCTTATCCAACATGACCTAGCATGCTTATCACCAATCGCTCACATGGTGATCACCAATCGCTCACATGCTTATCACCATCCGCCCCAACCCCGCAAGCTCATCACGCGACTCACGTGCTGGTCGGAGGAGGGGAAGCAGCAGAAGTGCACCGACTCCTCCGCCCACTCCACATGCTCCTCGTCCTCCGCCACCCCCCCCAGCCCCTCACCCTTCCCCGCCCCGCCATCAGCAGTGGGGGGCCGTGGCGGCAGCGCGTTGCGAAGGTTCTGGTACATGGCCTCGGTGAAGAATGGCGTGAAGGGCGCCATGGCCTTGCACACCCTCAGCAGTACCTGGCAGGAGGGGGGAGGGAGTGGGGAAGGGGGATGAAAGGACGCATGCGTTATGTGGGAAGGGGTCGAAAGGAGAAGGGACACAAGGGGAAAGAGAAGAGGCATGAAGGACAAATAAAGAGGAAGCATGCAGTATGTGGGGCTACAATAGACTTGTGCATGGAATGGGCATTCGGTGCACTCATGTGCGTGACGTGTGGTAACAACACTTGGCGAGGCAACAACACAACACAGAAGAGGGAGTTAAACAGAGGAGCGAGGAGAGGGACTGACATGGAAGAGAGAGGAGAGCGCGAAGCGGCAGTCGTGGTCGGAGGTGCGGCCCTTGAGGCGCTTGCGGTTGAAGCGCACGTACACGTTGGTCAGGCTGTCTATGAACCGCACCAGGTACGGCACCACCTGCCGCCATGTGCCGTGTGTCGTGTGTGCCAGGGGTGGTGGAAGGGAGCATGGGCGGGAGGGGAGTGAGGCCGTGACTTTGTGGGATGTGCCCTTTGGAGACCCTCATCGCATAGAGTCATCGACCGCATCCCTGCGACCTACTCTAAGCTATGTTAAGCAACAAGGAGCTGCGAACCAGGGAAGCTGAGAATGCATGAGAGCAGGCTACAGGCCAGCGACTGCCCATCGCAGCGTGTCACAGCACCACATACAGATGATGTCCCTTGGAGCGCAGCGCACTCCCAGAGTGGAGCCGCTGTTGGGGGCACTCACGGTGTAGAGGCGGTACGCATCCATCTCAGCGCGCACGAATGCCGCCAGGCTCTGGCTGGCGGAGTGGATCCACACGTCCAGCACGTTGCTGCTCTCCGCCAGCTGGCGCGCCGTCATTGGCTGGAAGGGCGGCAGCCCCTCGGCGGTGAGGCGCAGCGTGTTCTGCACGAGGAAGCGGTACGCGTTGTACCATGGCAGGAACACGTCACGCACCTGATGGGGAGGGGGGCGAAAGGGGGGGAGAAGGGAGCGATGCAGGCAGACCATTAGTGGTAGGCGATTTAGTTGGGAAGGAGAGGGAAGGGCACTGGAAACAGGTAGACCAACCGGAAAGAGGGCAGAGAATTACTAAGAGATTCCAGGGCATGCACATGCCCCTCCTCTGTGAGAAGGCCGAGGAGCATGGCGACATGGAATTGGGGACATAAGTGTTACCACCATTCACCACCCGTTACCACTTCACACCACTCCCCACCACTCTTCACAACTCGTCACCACGTCCCACCCCTCCTCACCACGGCGAAGACGCCTTCCTTCTTGAAGCGCAGCGGCTCGGCGCGCACGACGGGCGAGTTGATGAGGTAGAGGCGCAGCGCGTCCGCGCCGTACGACCCCACCACGTCCATGGGCGGCGGGTAGTTGCGCAGGCGCTTGCTCATCTTCTTGCCGTCCTCCGCCAGCACCAGCCCGTTGCAGATGAGGTTGCGGAAGGCTGGCTTGTTGAAGAGCGCGGTGGACAGCACCATCAGCGTGTAGAACCTGCAAGTGAGGGGGGAGGACGGGAAAGGTGGGGAAGAGGAGGGCCGGGGAGAGGTGAGGGCACAACGTGGAGAGAAGATGAGACTGCCGTAAGCGGGCTTGTTGAACCGTGCTGTTGCACGGCCATGCGGGCAAAACGGGCAAGAGGGCACAAAAAGGTGAGAAAGTGAAAGAGAGGGCGAGTGGAAAGTGAAAGAGAGGGCGAGTGGAAAGTGAAAGAGAGGGCGAGTGGAAAGTGAAAGAGAGGGCGAGTGGAAAGTGAAAGAGAGGGCGAGTGGAAAGTGAAAGAGAGGGCGAGTGGAAAGTGAAAGAGAGGGCGAGTGGAAAGTGAAAGAGAGGGCGAGTGGAAAGTGAAAGAGCGGGCGAGTGGAAAGTGAAAGAGAGGGCGAGTGGAAAGTGAAAGAGAGGGCGAGTGGAAAGTGAAAGAGAGGGCGAGTGGAAAGTGAAAGAGAGGGCGAGTGGAAAGTGAAAGAGAGGGCGAGTGGAAAGTGAAAGAGAGGGCGAGTGAAAAGTGAAAGAGAGGGCGAGTGGAAAGTGAAAGAGAGGGCGAGTGGAAAGTGAAAGAGAGGGCGAGTGGAAAGTGAAAGAGAGGGCGAGTGGAAAGTGAAAGAGAGGGCGAGTGGAAAGTGAAAGAGAGGGCGAGTGGAAAGTGAAAGAGAGGGCGAGTGGAAAGTGAAAGAGAGGGCGAGTGGAAAGTGAAAGAGAGGGCGAGTGGAAAGTGAAAGAGAGGGCGAGTGGAAAGTGAAAGAGAGGCGGAGTGGAAAGTGAAAGAGAGGCGGAGTGGAAAGTGAAAGAGAGGCGGAGTGGAAAGTGAAAGAGAGGCGGAGTGGAAAGTGAAAGAGAGGCGGAGTGGAAAGTGAAAGAGAGGCGGAGTGGAAAGTGAAAGAGAGGCGGAGTGGAAAGTGAAAGAGAGGCGGAGTGGAAAGTGAAAGAGAGGCGGAGTGGAAAGTGAAAGAGAGGCGGAGTGGAAAGTGAAAGAGAGGCGGAGTGGAAAGTGAAAGAGAGGCGGAGTGGAAAGTGAAAGAGAGGCGGAGTGGAAAGTGAAAGAGAGGCGGAGTGGAAAGTGAAAGAGAGGCGGAGTGGAAAGTGAAAGAGAGGCGGAGTGGAAAGTGAAAGAGAGGCGGAGTGGAAAGTGAAAGAGAGGCGGAGTGGAAAGTGAAAGAGAGGCGGAGTGGAAAGTGAAAGAGAGGCGGAGTGGAAAGTGAAAGAGAGGCGGAGTGGAAAGTGAAAGAGAGGCGGAGTGGAAAGTGAAAGAGAGGCGGAGTGGAAAGTGAAAGAGAGGCGGAGTGGAAAGTGAAAGAGAGGCGGAGTGGAAAGTGAAAGAGAGGCGGAGTGGAAAGTGAAAGAGAGGCGGAGTGGAAAGTGAAAGAGAGGCGGAGTGGAAAGTGAAAGAGAGGCGGAGTGGAAAGTGAAAGAGAGGCGGAGTGGAAAGTGAAAGAGAGGCGGAGTGGAAAGTGAAAGAGAGGCGGAGTGGAAAGTGAAAGAGAGGCGGAGTGGAAAGTGAAAGAGAGGCGGAGTGGAAAGTGAAAGAGAGGCGGAGTGGAAAGTGAAAGAGAGGCGGAGTGGAAAGTGAAAGAGAGGCGGAGTGGAAAGTGAAAGAGAGGCGGAGTGGAAAGTGAAAGAGAGGCGGAGTGGAAAGTGAAAGAGAGGCGGAGTGGAAAGTGAAAGAGAGGCGGAGTGGAAAGTGAAAGAGAGGCGGAGTGGAAAGTGAAAGAGAGGCGGAGTGGAAAGTGAAAGAGAGGCGGAGTGGAAAGTGAAAGAGAGGCGGAGTGGAAAGTGAAAGAGAGGCGGAGTGGAAAGTGAAAGAGAGGCGGAGTGGAAAGTGAAAGAGAGGCGGAGTGGAAAGTGAAAGAGAGGCGGAGTGGAAAGTGAAAGAGAGGCGGAGTGGAAAGTGAAAGAGAGGCGGAGTGGAAAGTGAAAGAGAGGCGGAGTGGAAAGTGAAAGAGAGGCGGAGTGGAAAGTGAAAGAGAGGCGGAGTGGAAAGTGAAAGAGAGGCGGAGTGGAAAGTGAAAGAGAGGCGGAGTGGAAAGTGAAAGAGAGGCGGAGTGGAAAGTGAAAGAGAGGCGGAGTGGAAAGTGAAAGAGAGGCGGAGTGGAAAGTGAAAGAGAGGCGGAGTGGAAAGTGAAAGAGAGGCGGAGTGGAAAGTGAAAGAGAGGCGGAGTGGAAAGTGAAAGAGAGGCGGAGTGGAAAGTGAAAGAGAGGCGGAGTGGAAAGTGAAAGAGAGGCGGAGTGGAAAGTGAAAGAGAGGCGGAGTGGAAAGTGAAAGAGAGGCGGAGTGGAAAGTGAAAGAGAGGCGGAGTGGAAGTGAAAGAGAGGCGGAGTGGAAAGTGAAAGAGAGGCGGAGTGGAAAGTGAAAGAGAGGCGGAGTGGAAAGTGAAAGAGAGGCGGAGTGGAAAGTGAAAGAGAGGCGGAGTGGAAAGTGAAAGAGAGGCGGAGTGGAAAGTGAAAGAGAGGCGGAGTGGAAAGTGAAAGAGAGGCGGAGTGGAAAGTGAAAGAGAGGCGGAGTGGAAAGTGAAAGAGAGGCGGAGTGGAAAGTGAAAGAGAGGCGGAGTGGAAAGTGAAAGAGAGGCGGAGTGGAAAGTGAAAGAGAGGCGGAGTGGAAAGTGAAAGAGAGGCGGAGTGGAAAGTGAAAGAGAGGCGGAGTGGAAAGTGAAAGAGAGGCGGAGTGGAAAGTGAAAGAGAGGCGGAGTGGAAAGTGAAAGAGAGGCGGAGTGGAAAGTGAAAGAGAGGCGGAGTGGAAAGTGAAAGAGAGGCGGAGTGGAAAGTGAAAGAGAGGCGGAGTGGAAAGTGAAAGAGAGGCGGAGTGGAAAGTGAAAGAGAGGCGGAGTGGAAAGTGAAAGAGAGGCGGAGTGGAAAGTGAAAGAGAGGCGGAGTGGAAAGTGAAAGAGAGGCGGAGTGGAAAGTGAAAGAGAGGCGGAGTGGAAAGTGAAAGAGAGGCGGAGTGGAAAGTGAAAGAGAGGCGGAGTGGAAAGTGAAAGAGAGGCGGAGTGGAAAGTGAAAGAGAGGCGGAGTGGAAAGTGAAAGAGAGGCGGAGTGGAAAGTGAAAGAGAGGCGGAGTGGAAAGTGAAAGAGAGGCGGAGTGGAAAGTGAAAGAGAGGCGGAGTGGAAAGTGAAAGAGAGGCGGAGTGGAAAGTGAAAGAGAGGCGGAGTGGAAAGTGAAAGAGAGGCGGAGTGGAAAGTGAAAGAGAGGCGGAGTGGAAAGTGAAAGAGAGGCGGAGTGGAAAGTGAAAGAGAGGCGGAGTGGAAAGTGAAAGAGAGGCGGAGTGGAAAGTGAAAGAGAGGCGGAGTGGAAAGTGAAAGAGAGGCGGAGTGGAAAGTGAAAGAGAGGCGGAGTGGAAAGTGAAAGAGAGGCGGAGTGGAAAGTGAAAGAGAGGCGGAGTGGAAAGTGAAAGAGAGGCGGAGTGGAAAGTGAAAGAGAGGCGGAGTGGAAAGTGAAAGAGAGGCGGAGTGGAAAGTGAAAGAGAGGCGGAGTGGAAAGTGAAAGAGAGGCGGAGTGGAAGTGAAAGAGAGGCGGAGTGGAAAGTGAAAGAGAGGCGGAGTGGAAAGTGAAAGAGAGGCGGAGTGGAAAGTGAAAGAGAGGCGGAGTGGAAAGTGAAAGAGAGGCGGAGTGGAAAGTGAAAGAGAGGCGGAGTGGAAAGTGAAAGAGAGGCGGAGTGGAAAGTGAAAGAGAGGCGGAGTGGAAAGTGAAAGAGAGGCGGAGTGGAAAGTGAAAGAGAGGCGGAGTGGAAAGTGAAAGAGAGGCGGAGTGGAAAGTGAAAGAGAGGCGGAGTGGAAAGTGAAAGAGAGGCGGAGTGGAAAGTGAAAGAGAGGCGGAGTGGAAAGTGAAAGAGAGGCGGAGTGGAAAGTGAAAGAGAGGCGGAGTGGAAAGTGAAAGAGAGGCGGAGTGGAAAGTGAAAGAGAGGCGGAGTGGAAAGTGAAAGAGAGGCGGAGTGGAAAGTGAAAGAGAGGCGGAGTGGAAAGTGAAAGAGAGGCGGAGTGGAAAGTGAAAGAGAGGCGGAGTGGAAAGTGAAAGAGAGGCGGAGTGGAAAGTGAAAGAGAGGCGGAGTGGAAAGTGAAAGAGAGGCGGAGTGGAAAGTGAAAGAGAGGCGGAGTGGAAAGTGAAAGAGAGGCGGAGTGGAAAGTGAAAGAGAGGCGGAGTGGAAAGTGAAAGAGAGGCGGAGTGGAAAGTGAAAGAGAGGCGGAGTGGAAAGTGAAAGAGAGGCGGAGTGGAAAGTGAAAGAGAGGCGGAGTGGAAAGTGAAAGAGAGGCGGAGTGGAAAGTGAAAGAGAGGCGGAGTGGAAAGTGAAAGAGAGGCGGAGTGGAAAGTGAAAGAGAGGCGGAGTGGAAAGTGAAAGAGAGGCGGAGTGGAAAGTGAAAGAGAGGCGGAGTGGAAAGTGAAAGAGAGGCGGAGTGGAAAGTGAAAGAGAGGCGGAGTGGAAAGTGAAAGAGAGGCGGAGTGGAAAGTGAAAGAGAGGCGGAGTGGAAAGTGAAAGAGAGGCGGAGTGGAAGTGAAAGAGAGGCGGAGTGGAAAGTGAAAGAGAGGCGGAGTGGAAAGTGAAAGAGAGGCGGAGTGGAAAGTGAAAGAGAGGCGGAGTGGAAAGTGAAAGAGAGGCGGAGTGGAAAGTGAAAGAGAGGCGGAGTGGAAAGTGAAAGAGAGGCGGAGTGGAAAGTGAAAGAGAGGCGGAGTGGAAAGTGAAAGAGAGGCGGAGTGGAAAGTGAAAGAGAGGCGGAGTGGAAAGTGAAAGAGAGGCGGAGTGGAAAGTGAAAGAGAGGCGGAGTGGAAAGTGAAAGAGAGGCGGAGTGGAAAGTGAAAGAGAGGCGGAGTGGAAAGTGAAAGAGAGGCGGAGTGGAAAGTGAAAGAGAGGCGGAGTGGAAAGTGAAAGAGAGGCGGAGTGGAAAGTGAAAGAGAGGCGGAGTGGAAAGTGAAAGAGAGGCGGAGTGGAAAGTGAAAGAGAGGCGGAGTGGAAAGTGAAAGAGAGGCGGAGTGGAAAGTGAAAGAGAGGCGGAGTGGAAAGTGAAAGAGAGGCGGAGTGGAAAGTGAAAGAGAGGCGGAGTGGAAAGTGAAAGAGAGGCGGAGTGGAAAGTGAAAGAGAGGCGGAGTGGAAAGTGAAAGAGAGGCGGTAGTGGAAAGTGAAAGAGAGGCGGAGTGGAAAGTGAAAGAGAGGCGGAGTGGAAAGTGAAAGAGAGGCGGAGTGGAAAGTGAAAGAGAGGCGGAGTGGAAAGTGAAAGAGAGGCGGAGTGGAAAGTGAAAGAGAGGCGGAGTGGAAAGTGAAAGAGAGGCGGAGTGGAAAGTGAAAGAGAGGCGGAGTGGAAAGTGAAAGAAGAGGCGGAGTGGAAAGTGAAAGAGAGGCGGAGTGGAAAGTGAAAGAGAGGCGGAGTGGAAAGTGAAAGAGAGGCGGAGTGGAAAGTGAAAGAGAGGCGGAGTGGAAAGTGAAAGAGAGGCGGAGTGGAAAGTGAAAGAGAGGCGGAGTGGAAAGTGAAAGAGAGGCGGAGTGGAAAGTGAAAGAGAGGCGGAGTGGAAAGTGAAAGAGAGGCGGAGTGGAAAGTGAAAGAGAGGCGGAGTGGAAAGTGAAAGAGAGGCGGAGTGGAAAGTGAAAGAGAGGCGGAGTGGAAAGTGAAAGAGAGGCGGAGTGGAAAGTGAAAGAGAGGCGGAGTGGAAAGTGAAAGAGAGGCGGAGTGGAAAGTGAAAGAGAGGCGGAGTGGAAAGTGAAAGAGAGGCGGAGTGGAAAGTGAAAGAGAGGCGGAGTGGAAAGTGAAAGAGAGGCGGAGTGGAAAGTGAAAGAGAGGCGGAGTGGAAAGGAGGAAAGGCATGAATGAAGAGACGGATCGCCTGGCCGTCGACCGGCCGACAAGGCAGGGTGCGGCTGGCCTCGTTGCTCATGATCACAGCTGTGTGTCACGTTCGCTTCGCCACCCACAGCATCAGCTGCTGTGAGCTAAGTCCCTCCCTCCAGTGGACCCCCTCTCAAGTGGACCCCCCACCCTCGTCATCGCCACGCCGCCCTGCACCATCCGGCATGCCATGCCATGGCTCAATGTCCCGCATGCCACGCCATGCCTCCTCACTATCCCGCATGCCACGCCACGCCTCACCAGCCGCGGGTCTGGTCGAGCCCCTCGGCGATGAAGTGGCCGGGGAAGTTCTTCTCGAAGAGGTCCTTGTTCTCAAAGGGGTAGTGGATGTACGCGTACGGCATGCTGCCGCTCTCAAACCAGCAGTCAAACACCTGCCAGCGGCAGGCCGGGGGAGGGGAGCGCGGGAGGATGTGGAACAAGAGAGGCGGAGGGGGTTCGGTTCGGTGTGGAGAGAATGCAAGGACCAGGCGCAAGAGGCGTTGCTGTCATGCACACAACCCCTCCTCCTCACTTCCCCCCAGCCCACGTTGTCTGAACAGCACATGAGTGAACCCCGAAAGCAACGGACCAGCCTCACCCACAACCCCACGCCTCACCCACAACCCCACGCCTCACCCACAGCCCCGCTCCCCCTTCCTTCCCCCCCCCCGGCAGCAGCACTCACATCCTCGATGCGCTTGAGCGGCGGGTGGTCGGGCCCCTTGCTGCTGGGAATGGTGATGTGGTCGATCTTATGCCGGTGCAGGTCCGTCACTTTCTCGCCCCCCAGCGCCTCCAGCTCCGCGATGCTGCCCACCACGCGGATCTCAGAAAAGTCCTCGCTGGCCCAGATGGGCAGCGGCGTGCCCCAGAAGCGGCTGCGGCTGACGGCCCAGTCGCGCGCGTTCTCGAGCCAGTTGTGGAAGCGCTTCTCCTTCACGTACTCCGGCACCCACTGCGTCCCCGCGTTGCTCTCCAGTAGTGCCGGCTTTATCGCCTCCACCGCTATGAACCTGGGGGTGGGGGTTGGGGGAGATGGGGTATGGGGGGAGAGGGAGGGGGGAGAGGGAGGGGGGAGAGGGAGGGGGGAGAGGGAGGGGGAAGAGGGAGGGGGAAGAGGGAGGGGGAAGAGGGAGGGGGGAGAGGGAGGGGGGAGAGGGAGGGGGAAGAGGGAGGGGGGAGAGGGAGGGGGGAGAGGGAGGGGGAAGAGGGAGGGGGGCAGATGGAGCGCACACAAGGGAAGGGGGAGGGGAGGGTGGCTTCACATACTCCGGCACCCACTGTGTGCCCACGTTGCTCTCCAGCAGCGCTGGCTTTCTGCTCAACCGCTATGAGGAGGGGAGAGAGCAGGGGTAGAAAGCGGGGGAGAAGGGAGAGCAGGGGATGGAAGGAGAGGGGGATGGAGAGCACACAAGGGAAACGAGGGAGGAAATAGGGTAAAGGGGAAAGATGGGAGAAAGAACACGGGGTAGAAAGGAGAGGTGGGGACGGTTGGGAGATGAGAGGAGAGAGGGAAGGGGTGAGAGGAGAGAGGGAAGGGGTGAGAGGAGAGAGGGAAGGGGTGAGAGGAGAGAGGGAAGGGGTGAGAGGAGAGAGGGAAGGGGTGAGAGGAGAGAGGGAAGGGGTGAGAGGAGAGAGGGAAGGGGTGAGAGGAGAGAGGGAAGGGGTGAGAGGAGAGAGGGAAGGGGTGAGAGGAGAGAGGGAAGGGGTGAGAGGAGAGAGGGAATATGGGAGAGGGAATATGGGAGAGGGAATATGGGAGAGGGAATATGGGAGAGGGGAATGGGTGGTGGGTTGAGAGCGGACTGGGTATAATGGAGAGGGGGTAGAGGGGAGCGAGGAGGGAAGATGGGATACGAGAGGAGAGATGCAATGGCAAGAGGCGGATCACATGGGAGAGGCAGCAGGGGGAAGGAAAGAGGGGAGTTGGGAATATACGCGGATGGGCTTGCATGGGCTGTGAGAGGGAGAGGAAATGATAAGATTGGGTGGGAAATGATAAGATTGGGTGGGAAATGATAAGATTGGGTGGGAAATGATAAGATTGGGTGGGAAATGATAAGATTGGGTGGGAAATGATAAGATTGGGTGGGAAATGACTGCCGCGGGACAAACGAGACGAAAGGAGGGAAGAACCAAGGAAAGGAGAAAAGGGGAAAGGTGAAAGGGAAGGGGAAGGAGAGGGTGGCTCGCCTCGCGTACCAGTTGGGGAGAGTGAAGGGAGGGAGAGAGCGGGAGGGGAGCGCGTAGCAGGCAGGCACATTGAGCGCGTAGCAGGCAGGCACATTGAGCGCGTAGCAGGCAGGAACATTGAGCGCGTAGCAGGCAGGCACATTGAGCGCGTAGCAGGCAGGAACATTGAGCGCGTAGCAGGCAGGCACATTGAGCGCGTAGCAGGCAGGCACATTGAGCGCGTAGCAGGCAGGCACATTGAGGGGGAAAGGGGGTGGCGCGTGTAGCGGGTGGGCAGAGTGAGGGAGGGAGGGGGAGCGGCGGCGCGTACCAGCTGGGCACGGCGCGGTAGATGAGGGGCGTGTCGGAGCGCCAGCAGAACGGGTACGAGTGCATTATGCTCCCCACACTCACCACCCTCCCCGCCTCCTGCTCTCCGCGTGCAAGGGGTGTGTGGGGGGGGGGAGGGAAACGGAGATGAGTGGAGTGGGTGTTTATGAGCACAAAGTAAAGCAAGCACCGTTACATGGGGTTGAGGAGGCGAGCGAGGGAGAAAGAGTAGAGGAAGGAGCCGCAAGAGCGCCTGACCTTGAGCATGGCAAGAGCGCCTGACCTTGAGCATGGCAAGAGCGCCTGACCTTGAGCATGGCAAGAGCGCCTGACCTTGAGCATGGCAAGAGCGCCTGACCTTGAGCATGGCAAGAGCGCCTGACCTTGAGCATGGCAAGAGCGCCTGACCTTGAGCATGGCAAGAGCGCCTGACCTTGAGCATGGCGAGAATGGGCTTGTCAGCGTCCTTGACGTATTGCCCCTTGAAGTCCGTCACCTTGTCCGTGAACCGCCCATCGTCATCCACTGGATTCGGTATCGCCTCGCCCTGCCGTGGTGTGGTGTGTTGAGGTGCACACATGTATGATGCGTACAGGCGTGCACCCATGCGCACATGCACCCCATGCGCCCACGCACACATGCACCCATGCACCCATGCACACATGCACCTAGACATGAGCACAAGGGCGAACACCTGTTCGGTTCGCCTCGAACGTGTTCGAGGCGAACCGAACAGGTTTGTTTTTTTTGGTTAAATTGTTCGCCGAACAGTGTTCGATGTTCGCCCGAACACGTTCGTGTTCGGGCCGCTGCTGCAATTTGCCCCGCGACGAACACGAACGTGTTCGAGGTTCGCCCGAACACGCCTTCACAGGCGAACGGCGAACACGAGTTTTTGCTTAAAGTGTTCGCCGAACCGAACAGTGTTCGGTTCGGCAAACGGATGTGTTCGTCTAGGGGCGAACACGAACATGTTCGTGTTCGCCCCTTGCTCATCCCTACATGCACCCATACGGACACGACAAATAAATGGACGCGCAATGGCAGAGTGGTGGCGCTGAGGTCGCTGCACGGGGTGGAACAGACCGGCAGTCATCCGCTTTGCACCACCTGTTCTACCACCAAACCACACCACTCCACACAGGCACGGCGCGGCACAGCACGGCACGGCACAGCACGGCGCGGCACAGCAGAGCAGAGCACAGCAGAGCACAGCACAGCACAGCACAGCACAGCACCTTGCCGATGATCCCAGCAGCGAGGCAGACGCGGTAATCGTCCTCGCCAAAGGCAGGCGCGCAGTGCACCACGCCCGTGCCGCTGTCGTCCGTCACAAAGCCATCCGCCACCACGCGGAACGCACTGGGCATCGCCTCCTTGTAGTACGGAAACATGGGCTCGTAGCTGCGCGCATGGGAGGGGGTGAGGGGAAGGGGGGAAAGAAAGAGGGGAAGGGATGGGAAAAAGGGGAAAGCTCGGGAGAAAATGAGGGTGGGTGGGCACCCGAATCGATGCACACATGTGGACAGCACAGCACAGTGTGGGTGGGCGTGCATGCAGTGCAGGGCAGGGGAGAGGCGGCACTCACGTGAGGCCCACGAGGTCGGCGCCAGTGACGGTGGCGATCACCTCATACAGCGACTCATCCAACCCCTCCACTGCCCCGCCCCCCCCTGCTGCCGCCCCCCCGCTCTGCTCCTTGCTGCCTCCGCCCTTCTTCCCCCCTCCCTTGCCGCCCTTCCCCTTGTCTCCGCCACCTGCCTTGCCTCCCTTCTCCTCCCCTGCTGCCTTCTCCTCCCCTTTTGCCTCCACCTTTGCCTCCCCCTTGGCCTTCTTGCGGCCGGGCAGGGCGCAGAGGCGGGACTGGGCGAGCATGAGCACGGCACCTGTGTCACGGTTGCGCACCTGAGAAGAGGGGAGTGGGGGGCGCAGCGCACACCGCCCGCCACATGGGGTTGCTTGATTGGTGCACCATGGTATTGTTTACTTTGAAGCGGCATACATACACCATGGCATAACATAGTATGGTATAAAATGCTATTGTAGGTTATGGGATTATGCAGCGCGGTATCATAGAGTATGGAATAGCAAGGTGGGATATGGTAGATTATTGTACAGACCGAATGGTGACACATAGAGTGGTATAGTAAGATGTGGCAGTGCCAGTATGCACAGATAGCAACCGTACGGTATGGTGTGATACGGTAAGGTATGGCGAGGTTCACGAGGCGGTGCATGTGTGATGGGGCAGAGGCAGGGGTGGCACCTTGCAGTAGGAGAAGGAGGGGTTGACGCAGAGCGCGAGGTTGGAGGGGAGCGTCCAGGGCGTGGTGGTCCACGCCACCAGTGCTGCCCCGTCCAAGTCCCCGTGCAGCGGGAACGTCACCACCACCGCTGGGTCCGACACGTCCTGTGCTCCCCGGGTGGTGAGCGGGAGAGAGAGCGGGTGAGTGGGATATGAGAGAGGGGATGCGGTATGATGAGGGAGGAAACATGAGAGTAGTAGGGACTGAACACACAGCAGCGAGGTGAGACATGCGGCAGCAGTGTGCAAGAGCATGTGTGCGCCGTGGTGGGAGAGCGTGAGAGGCGTGCCATGGTGCCATCCCTCCCTCCATCTCCACTTGCACTCAACGCCCCACACGGCCTCTCAGTGCTGCTGCCAGCTACAGAGTGAATCACCGCCCAAACCCTCCCCTCTGCCAATGGCCTTTAACACGCTGAATGCATGTTGAGCGAGCATCAATGGCGCCCACCCACCCACCCACCTTGTAGTTGAGGCCGGCTTCAAAGTTGGAGAGCGGCGTGTTGCAGGCGGTGGAGAAGGGCATGACCTTAAAGCCCCGGTACACCAGGCCCTTGGCGTGGAGCTGCGAGAAGACCCACCAGCACGACTCCATGTACCCCGCATCCAACGTCTTGTAGTCGTTGTCAAAGTCGATCCAACGGCCCACGCGCGTGATGATGTCACGCCACTCGGACGAGTAGCGCATGACGATGCTGCGACACTCCTCGTTGTACACATCGATTCCCATCCTCATCACCTGCCTTGCCACACAGCATACCACAGCACACACCAACCAGGACACGTGGAACAGGTGTTCACACCAACCATTCCCCCAGCATCCCCCCAGCATCCCCCCACCACACCTCCACCACACCCCCACCACACACCAACCGCAACGAACGGAATGGGTGAGCAAAGCAGGGGCGGGCCATATGTTAGAAAAGTAATCTCTCTGTCTGTCTTCACTGAAATCCGAAGGTATTGCTCACGGCCAGCTCTAAACATATCCAGGCTACTTTGACACAGACCCCGGCATTTCACAAGATGTCATGGGGGAATCAAGCTGTCAAACACCCGTCTCGTCTCGCTGCCCATTCTCCTAGGCCCTTCCTTCCCCTGTCATCGCAATGCCTTGTCACTTGCTGGTATTCTCTGGTTGCTCTCAAGGCTGCTTCCCATTCCTCGCCCCACCCCTCGCCCCTGCGGTTGCAGCGCCCTGATCGGCACAGAAGAACAGTTTCGACCTGGATGCAACAGGTAACTCGTCCTAACAGGTAACTCGTCCTAATCTCCTTCTAATCTCCTCTAAATGAGATGAAAAAAGATATAAAAGAAGACGCGGCATCGCTGGCCGATACGGCTGCAGGGACCGACAGGCTTCGCACAGCGGTGGCAGCCATTTTAGTGTTATCTAGCACTCTTGGATGTGGAAAGATGTGCTAATCTGTGTCAAAATTCCAGCGCCCTGATCGGCACTGGGGCTGCCTCGTCGCGTCGCTTGCCCCACACAGCAAACAGCTTCTGAGAAGACGAGGGCAGCAGCATTCGCCGTGCTCTGGTCATTCGCCGTGCTCTGGTCATTCGCCGTGCTCTGGTCATTCGCCGTGCTCTGGTCAGGCCACGCGAGTGCCCACCCACAAAACGTGGTTAAACGAGGGCGCAGCGCGATGGGAAGACTTCAAGCCTGCTGGCCCCCTCTCGTGCTCCTCCTCCCTCCCACATTCCGCCGTCACCTCGCCGCACTCTCTCACCTCTCACTCGCTCGCCTTCCCTTCCCTTCCCTTCCCTTCCCTTCCCTTCCCTTCCCTTCCCTTCCCTTCCCTTCCCTTCCCTTCCCTTCCCTTCTCTTCCCTTCCCTTCCCTTCCCTCCCCCCCCCCTTCAACGCACATCATCGCGGATCTTGACGTGGAGCGTCTAAGGGATCTCATACTCCACGGGCAGGGCCGCCCTCGCCGCCCCGCCCTCTCTCTCACTCCCCTCACTCACTCGCTCGCCTTCCCTTCCCTCCCCCCCCCCCCCCACCCCCACCGCACGTACATCATCGCGGCTCTTGACGTGGAGCGTCTGGTGGATCTCGTACTCCACGGGCAGCCCTTTGAGATGCCTCAAGAGCCATCCCGCTCCCCGCCCCCCCCCACCCCCTCTCCCCCGGCCCCTCCCCCACAACCCCCCCCCCACCGCACGTACATCGTCGCGGCTCTTAACGTTGAGCTTCTGGTCGATCTCGTATTCGACGGGCAGCCCGTGGCAGTCCCACCCGAACCGCCGCGTGACGTGGTGGCCCGTCGCCGTCTGGTAGCGCGTCACCACGTCCTTGATCGTGCCGGCCAGAATGTGCCCGTAGTGCGGCAGGCCTTGGGGGGGGGGGAGGGGGGAGAGAGTGGAGGCGTTTGGGGCGAGGCGAAGGGGGACGCGGTGGGTGAGCGGTTGATTGCGGAGTGGCGATGAGGCCGCGGAGGGAGGCGCGACTGCGCGCAAGTGGGGGTTGACGAAGACGGTCGCGAATGCAGTGAATGTCGCGCTTCGCACGTGGCGGAGGGCGGCACCTGTGGCGAAGTGGTTACCTGTGGCGAAGGGCACCTGTGGCGAAGAGGTTACCTGTGGCAAAGGGCGGCACCTGTGGCGAAGGGCGGGACCTGTGGCGAAGGGCGGGACCTGTGGCGAAGGGTTACCAGTGGCGAAGGGCGGGCCATCGTAGAAGACGTATTCCGGCAGCTCCTCGGTGCGGCGCAGCTGCTCGTGAAAGGCGTCGAGGCGCTCCCACAGCTGCAGCACCTTCTCCTCCTCGCGCGGGAAGCTAAAGTCCTTCCCCTCCACCACCGCCTCCATCGCCACCCCTCGCGCCTTGCCCCCTCGTGCCTTGCCCCCTCGCGCAATTCCTCGTCTGCGCCCCTTTGTCCCTCGCGTAGATGGTCTCCGCAATCGGCGCGGAACCTCGCGTGCCCTGCGCGCACTGCGAGCGGGGCGAGCGAAGAGATCGGAGAGAGCGAGGCGCGCCAATGGTGACTTCGCGATCCACGCGAGGGTGAACGTGTCGGGCTCTTCGCGTGTCGGGCTCAAAATGCAGCGTGGAGGAGTTAAAACCAGAACCTCCGGACAGCGGAGTGACTTCAGGTCAGATCCTGGTTCAGGCTGCTTTTGTCTTTACCCAGAAAAGTTTCTAGTGTTTCACAACAAGCAACCTGTTATAAGTTCTACTCACAGAGTGGGCAGAATAATGCTTTTAAAAAATGTCATTACGGACTCCGTAATTTTTTTGTTTTAAGCAACCCTTATCATCAGTCCTGCACCTTTGCAAAACCCTGATTATCAGTGTGACCCTTGTAGGGTTTCAGTAGCTGAACATGGAATAATGCTTTCCATGTATCTGGTAAGCGCAAGCGGAATGAAACGGGTGTCACCTGTGCCTCAACGAGAAAAGGACCACAGAAGCGAGGTCGGAGTTTGGATGGGAAGTGAGACAGGTTCAAGTTGCGCGTGTCAAGAAGCACCTGATATCCGACTGCTACCGAGTGATCTCGTAATTGACGATCGGCATACTGCTTCTGGGAGGTCTGCATCGTGGTGAGTCGTCGCTGAGTCTTCTCCCACAGCTGCTGCATGGTGGTGACTTGGACGTGTGCCGGTGCGGTTGGCTGCTGTGGTGTGAGTGGTTCCCGTCCGTAACACAGGAAGAAAGGAGTTTTCCCTGTGGCCGCATGTGACGCGTTGTTGTAAGCGAACTCTAGGGTCGGTAACTGTGTGTCCCAGTGGTTGACGTCGTCTTTGCAAGCTGTGCGCAGTAACTGTTCAACCACCTGATTGAGTCGCTCGGTCTGTCCGTCAGTCTGGGGGTGGTATGCTAAAAACATTGCAAGCTTTGTCCCCAACAGTCCCATGAGCTCCTTCCAGAACTTACTGGTGAATTTCGGGTCTCTGTCTGAGATGAGTGTAGCGGGGATGCCGTGGATGGTGATGATGCGGTCGAAGAAGAGGCGAACAGTTGCTTCAGCTGCAGCTGTGGCGTTGGTCGGTATGAAGTGACCCATTTTGGAGAACTTATCGATCACTACGAGGATGGAATCGTGCCCCCGTGAGGTCGAAGGAAGTCCTGTGATGAAGTCGAGGCTAACGACCTGCCATGGCTGGTCCGGTACGGGGAGAGGCTGAAGTGACCCTGCTTTTTTCTGCTTGCTGCTCTTCATCCGCTGGCACGTGTCGCAAGAGGTGACGAACTGCTGCACGTCTGCTGCCATCCCGGGCCAGTAGTAATTCTTCGCTATCCCTGCTAACGTTTTGTTGCTCCCGAAATGTCCCGCGTAAGGTACGTCGTGAAACTCCTCCAAGAGGATCTGCCGTAGCGGGGCGTAATTCGGTACCCAAATCTAACTTGAACCTTCCATACAGCTAAGTCTTTCTCCCACTGTAGCAGCTTCGTAGTCTGTGCTGTAGCGATCTCTGTGTCTACGGAGTATCCATGTTGGAATAGACCCTTGAGCAGAGGGTTCATCCCGTCGAGCTGGATGCCTGCTACATGACCGGGGCGGCTCAACGCGTCTGCTTTGTTGTGTAGCCCGGGCTTGTAGACGATGTCGTAGTGGAAGTGAGTTTCCAAGAAGTCCATCCACCGCACCTGTCGTCGCGAGAGTGTCGGCTGTGACTTCAGGTATTTGAGACTGCAGTGGTCAGTATAGACTGTGGTCTTGGCTCCCTCTAGGTAACACCTCCACGCCTTGAAGGCTATGACTATCGCTAAGGCTTCCTTGTCATGGATGGGGTAGTTCAGTTCTGCTCCGTGTAGCTTCTTACTGAGGTAGGCGATGGGCTGCAAACCGCGTCCGTGATCCTGCATCAGTACTGCCCCGACTGCTTGGTCACTAGCGTCTGCTTCCACCACGTAGTCCTTGTCTGGATCTGGTAGGATGAGTACTGGCACTATAGTCAGTGCTGTCTGTAGCTGCTCCATGGCTTGCTGATGAGGAGTATCCCATTTGTAGGGCGTATCCTTATTCAGTAGGTCGGTCAGTGGTGCTGCTATCTTAGCATACTGTGGCACGAACCTGTTGTAGTAGTTGGCGAAGCCTAGGAACTGCTGCAACTCCTTCACGTTTTCTGGTACTTTCCACTTCTTGACAGCTTCGAT